CCTCCACTGAGCAATTGTCGCATCATACGACGCGTGCGCAATGTGGCTGCGAATGCACAGGATGACACACCTCAACGGACTTTCGTCAACACGACTGTGGTGGCCGTTTCACCGCTTCAGATATCGCACGCCCCGAATACGTCTTACAATGTCGTCTTGGAGATCCTGAAGCAGTGCCGCGAGAGCCAGGATGCAATGCTCGCGGCACAGCTCTCTGAGATACGGTCTTGTCCCTTCTACGGCATGCGCGTGCAGTACTCACCAGCGGGTGGAGGGGGTGACGCTTCTCAGCTTACCCGGAACTGCCACTTGGCAGTCGTTCTCGTTCGTACCACGCAGAAGTCTCGGTGCGTATCCACTGCGGCTGGCTTCGTCGTGTCCACACCAGGTGTCACGGACGCTTCTGACGGTGAGTCTTCCCACTCAGTGACGATTCACGGACACTGCTCAGTTGACAACTTGCTCTCGTTCAAAATGGATCCGCCCAACCGAGCGAAGCACAGAGTCTGCTTGTTGCTCATTACTGGCTGTTCAAAAGATGGCATGACGGTGCACAGCGTGACCCACATTGACGACTCCGTCGTGTCTGAGGCGCAGTACTTCATTAAAAAATTGAGAACACTGGGGATGCGCACAGAGCTTCAGCAATCAGGCGAGCATAAGCGGATGAATGAGTGGAGCACGACGCCGGAATCCGCCAAGAAGTGCCGCATTCTTGAAAGCCACCCCTCAGGAGAAAGCTTGAGGTGAGCTTTCTCCTGTCTTGTCAGCGATGCTTCTCAGCTTGCTGGACATGGCAAGCATCTTTGTCCTGCGCCTTGCGGGATGCCAACTAGGTTTGCCTCAAACATATCGTTTGGTAGTTTCGTTGTTTATGCGGTGCTTCTCAGCCTGCACGTCATCGATTTCGTGCAGATGCAGCGCTTTACAGACCCATTGCAACTCGAGGTTCTCCACGCCATGAGAACTCCAGGCGGAAAAAAGATCTCTGACGAGAGCTGGCAGGCGATCGTCAAAACAGAGGTCGTTAGCTCTAGCGGTGCTGCTCAGCCTGCTGCCAGCAGCAGCGAAGCCGCTCAGCCACCTCAGTGGGGCCCTCGGTTGCGCGCAGCACGAGGCTGGTACGAGTCGGCCTATGAGTGGCGCATCGTCTCTTACGCCATGCATGCACAGGCCAAGCTTGATGCGCACGATGCTGGCCAGCTGCTCTTTTACGTCCCAGCAATCGACAGACCAGCTGCGCGCCTCGCGAAGCCTGATTTCGACGAGATGCGCGCGGAGCCCAACATCGGCGCTACCGCAAAAATGCCGGGGCTGCTGCCGCTCTTCGTTGGCATGGAGGTCATCCTGACAGAATCCGTCTTGCCGCCGAAGTATGTCCGTGGCGCGCCAGGCAAAGTGGTAGGCATAGAGCTGCACGCTCTGGAGCCTCCGGTGGAGGGCCGCCCGTCCATTGTCTCGGACGGTGTGGTCGTACTCTACTACATGCCAAAGGCCGTCTATGTCAAGATCGATGACAGCGATGAACTTTTCTTGAAGGCCGCGCCGGTGACAGCTGGCAGTGCTTCTCAGCCTGCCGGCCCCGACCTGCGCGGAGTGCTCGCGATCACCCCGCAGGCGCGCCCCTGGAAGTTCAAAGCGAAGACAGGTGGCCCGGCCATCGCGGTGTCCAGGACGCAGTTGACCGTGCTGCCCAAAAAGCAGGGGACTCTGCATGGCGTCCAGGGCAAGACGACGGACCCAGGCTTCATCGTGCACTGGACGTTTCCGCCAGGACTCAAGAAGGAGTCCATTTGGCTTGCCTACTACGTCAGCCTGTCGCGCCCCAGAAGCTTCAACCAACTCTTGAGCCACGGCTTGCCTGACCGGAGCATCATCGAATCCGGCCCCCCGGAACAGATCGCCAAGGCCTTCGCCGAGCTCTTCACGGACAAGATTGCCGCGACGAAGATCGCTTGCGCGAAGGCCCGACAGCAACTGGGATGGCCTGCGCGAGCTTGAGGAGCCATGAGATGCAGGTTGCGTTGTGGCGGTGCTGTTCAGTCTGTCCGTCTGCATTCGCGTGGTGCTTCTCAGCCTGCATGCGCGTGGTGCTTCTCAGCCTGCGCTCGTGTGCAGCTGTGCGCGGTGAGCCTGCACGTGTCGCGGAATGCTTTTCAGCCTGCGCGTGTCTGCAATGCTTTTCAGCCTGCACGCTTTGCAGCTTCTCCGCTTCGCACGCCGCTCCTCAGCGCGGTCCTCTGAAAAAAAGAACAGTCATCATCTCATCGTCGCACTCATCATCGCACTCATCATCATCATTCATTGCCAGCGTTGATAGCAGTGTCCCGTTTTTACACGACTCGCACTGTTGATAGCAATGTCTCGTTTTGACACTCCCAGCGTTGATAGCAGTGTCTCCTTTTTACACGACTCCCACCATTCACAGCGAAGTTTCGTTTTGACACACTGCGAGCGTTGATAGCAGTGTCTCCTTTTTACACGACTGCCGCCATTCATAGCAGTGTCTCGTTTTGACACATTTCCAGCGTTGATAGCAGTGTCTCCTTTTTACAGGACTCCGAACTACAACTACTACTTCACTGTTACCACTGTTTCATCTTTCCTGCTCTTATTGCTAATACTACTGCGAGTGTTACTGCTGCTGCATGCCTCCAGCTATGCTACTACATATCGCTGTTAGGTTGCCTTGCCGGGATAATCCATGTTCTTTGGCCCCCTCTTGGGCCATCTTGGGGTTCCCTGGGCCGTCTGGGGACGCGCTTGGAGGCCTGGTGGGCCGTCCTGGGGCGGTCTTGTGGGTGTCGTCGGCCGTCTTGGAGCGTCGGCCAGCCGAGAGGGCGAGAAGGCAAAACTCTTTGAAAAGCAATGGAACCTAAATGATTTTGGCCTCTGGGGGCATGCTTCGGAGGACTGTTGGAGGCTCTTGGCGGCCTCTTGGGGGGGCCTTGGGGCCTTGTGTGGGCGTATGGGGGCCCAGGACTCGGAGTGTCATGGTTTTTCCCGTTCTTTGGCCCCCTCTTGGGCCTGGCTTGGGGTCCTCTGGGGCCGTCTCGGGCGCCTCTTGGACCATCTTGGGGCTCCCTGGGCCGTCTGGGGACGCGCTTGGAGGCCTCTTGGGCCGTCCTGGGGCGGTCTTGTGGTTCTCTCTTGCCGTCGTGGAGCGTCGGCTAGACGAGAAGACGAGAAGGCAGAATCCCTTCCAAAATCATTAAGAAATCAAAAAAATTGGCCTCTGGGGGCATGCGTCGGGGTACTGTTGGAGGCTCTGGCGGCCTCTTGGGGGGGCCTTGGAGCCTTGTCTGGGCGTTTGGGGCCCAGGACTCGGAGTGTCAGGGTCTTTCCCCGTTCTTTGGCACCTTCTTGGGCCTGACTTGGGGTCCTCTGGGGCCGTCTCGGGCGCCTCTTGGGCCATCTTGGGGCCGTCTGGGGACGCGCTTGGAGGCCTCTTGGGCCGTCCTGGGGCGGTCTTGTGGTTCTCTCCGGCCGTCGTGGAGCGTCGGCTAGACAAGAAGGCGAGAAGGCAAAATGCCGTCCAAAATCTTCAAGAAATCAAGAAAATGTGCCTCCGGGGGCATGCGTCGGAGTACTGTTGGAGGCTCTTGGCGGCCTCTTGGGGGGGCCTTGGAGCCTTGTCTGGGCGTTTGGGGCCCAGGACTCGGAGTGTCAGGGTCTTTCCCCGTTCTTTGGCACCTTCTTGGGCCTGACTTGGGGTCCTCTGGGGCCGTCTCGGGCGCCTCTTGGGCCATCTTGGGGCTCCCTGGGCCGTCTGGGGACGCGCTTGGAGGCCTGGTGGGCCGTCCTGGGGCGGTCTTGTGGGTCTATTCGGCCGGCTTGGAGCGTCGGCTAGCCGAGAAGGTGAGCAGGCAAAACGCCTTCAAAAACCAAGGACGAATTAAGGAGTTTGGCCTCTGGGGACATGCTTCGGAGGACTGTTGGAGGTTCCTGGAGGCCTCTAGAGCCTTGGTGGGGTCCTCTAGGGGGCCTCTTGGGCATTGTTGGGGGCCTCTAGGGGGCCTCTTGGACGCTCCTTGAAGCCTCTTATGGCCACTTCGGCGCGTCTTTGGGGGAAGGGCTCGGTTTGTGACGCTCGGGGGCCAGGATCTGCGTGATGGGTGTCGAAAAATGACCCTCCAGGGAGGGCATCGGTGCACGACGTTCTGGCACGCGCTGATGTCCGCCATAGAGGAGAGACAAGCTAGGGCAGACACGTCGCCTACCGGCTACAGAATCTGTCCAAGACTTTCACGTGTGGTCAAGGCGGGATGTTACCGAACGGCTTTGTTGATGACGTTGGTTCTGAACATTCTTTACTGTGGCCGCCGGGAACGTATGTGAGAACACGTGCGAGGAAGGGGGCCCGCGTGCCCCGCAGCGGGGCCCACACAGAGCCTCGGCGGACCCCCCAAGCGCAACGGGCAGCGACGCGGCGGCAACAGGCGGCAACGTGGAGAACACCTGGCGCACACCCAACGCGCAACGGGCGGCAACGAAACGGCAACGGGCACCAACGCGGCGGCAAACCATCGGCGCACCCCACACACGCAACCGGCGGCGACGTGGCGGCAACGGGTGGCAAGATGGCGACACCTCGGGGGACTCGGGGACTCATCCCACTCCTTAGAGACGCAAGTATGCACACCGAGGTACAAGCACTACTTGGGAAACGAATCCACCGATACATGTACGTATCCATGTTCTCTCTCTCTCTCTCTATCTCTCTCTGTCTCTGTATATCATTCTCTCTTTCTGTCTCTCTTTCTTTCTCGTTTTTTATGTGTGTCTCTCTCTCTCTCTCATTATCTCATTATCTCTCTCTCTCTCTCCCCCTCTCCATGTCTCTCTCCTTCCCTGATCTTACGTGTAAGCATATCGTAGTAAACCAACACGCATGCGAACAGGTATGGCGCATATATGAACAACTTGCCTGTACGATGCTTCCCCCCACGCCCCCGAAGGCCTCAACATCACCCGAAACAGGTGGTCGCTTCAGCAGATGCGATGACGTTGGGCTGCAGATCTGCCTCCCGCATCTCACTAAGAAGGCCAAGGGCCCGCTGCCACTGCTCGCCTTTTTCGCACGCGCTGATGGCAGCGTTGTAGACGATGACGTCGGGCTCAAGACTCGCAATCCACATCTCGCTTAGCAGCGCCAGAGCCCGCTGCCACTGCTCGCCCTTTTCGCACGCGCTGATCCCAGCGCTGTAGCTGACCAGGGCTGACCCGCGGCCTCCGGCCGCGGAAGTTGCCCGCCCTGGCGTGGACGTGAAGTGGAGCGTCTGGGGCCTCGCGGGTAAGGGGAGGTTGGAGGGGACGGCGTGGATGGAGGAGGTGGCCGCTGGAGGGGAAGGTGGGCGAGGGACGCAGGCAAGCAGGCCTGAAGGCAGGAACGCGGTGGTGGAGGCGGTGTCAGTGGAAGCACACCCATGTAGGCATGACATGGTGTGGGCTTCGAAGCTGTGTCTGACGCCCGCCGCAGTCCGTGTTCATCATAGCTTCTGCGGGGAAGGTAGCCGTGAGAAGTTGATCTGCTCTTCGCCGGGGCCGAATGATAATTTTATCTGGCAGTGTGGTGACAATGGGGCCAGTAGGAGCGGCCTAGGAGGCCAGGAAGAGGGCGGCGAGACGGAACTCCGTAAGAAGGGCCCCAGTGCGAGGACACGAATCGAGTATTTGAGCGCACCTCCCCAAGACGTCCCCAAATAGCGCAGAGATGGCTCCCAGAGGGTCCAAGAAGCCTCCAAAACGATGCTGGAAGTTCGACGCTCCCCAAAAGAGAAGCATCCAAGGGCTCTCGGGGGCCGCTTGGGGGCCTCTTTTCGTCCTCCTGGGGGTGGGTCTCTCGGAGCCCTCTTTGGCAGTCTTGAGTGCATCTTGGGCCGTCTTGGGGCGATGTGGGGCCGTCTTGGGCGCCTCTCGGACCATCTTGGGACAATCTTGCGGCCATCTTGGTTCAATATTGGGCGCTACTGGGGCTGTCTTTGGTGCTTCTTGAACCGTCTCGGGCGCCTCTGGAGCCGTCCCGGACGGCCCAGAGACCGTCTTGGAGACTGTCCAAACGGAAAGTCTTGGAGACGGGGCGGCGGGGGCCTCTACAGCCGTCTTGGAGACGGGCCGGTGGAGCCGTCTTGGGCCATTATTAACTGGTCTTGGGGCTATCTTGGGTGCGTCTTGGGCCGTCTCGGGCGCCTCTCGAGCCGTCCCAGGGCAGTGTGTGGCCCTTTGGGCGCCCTCATGGGGGCGTCTGGGCGCGTCTTGGGGCGAGCTGGGGGGCCTGTATAGCCTTCTGGACGCTGCGAGGACGAAAAAGCAAGATATATACAAGGGGCACGTGTGTGCCCAGGCTCATTCCAAAAAACTGAAGGGGCGTTGGAAGCAGGAGTGAAATGCAACAGCGAAGTCGCACTCGAGCGCAAGTGGGGTTGCCACACCTTGCGATGTGTGTACCAGGGCCCGCCAGGAAGCCTCAGGATGCCCGACTTGGATACCAGAAGAGGCTCCAGGAGGCCCCAGGATTGTGAGTGTTGTGTGTGTGTGTGTGATGTGTGCTCTGTGTTGTGCGTGTTTTTTGTGCGTTGTAGGTGTTGTGTGTGTTATGTTTGTCTAGCGTGTGATGTGTTGGGCGTGATTTGTGTCTCTGTGCGTGCGTGTAGTTCTGAGGCCCCAGGAGGCCAAAGGAGGCCTCAGGAGGCTCCAGGAGACCCCAGGAGGCTTCAGGAGGCCCCAAGAGGCTCCAGGAGGCTGCAGGAGGCCCCAGGAGGCCCCAGGAGGTTTCAGGAGACCCCCAGGAGGCTCCGAGGCGGGGTCTGGGGTACCAGAAGGTTCAGAAAGCCCCAGGAGGCCCCAGGAGGTTCCAGGATGCCCCCAGGAGGCTCGGAGGCGCTGTCTGGGGTACCAGAGGGTACGCCGGGGCTCGATTTTGGCAGGATGTTTCAGGCGAAACCGCCATTCTCTGAGAATCAGGGTCAACATCATTGAGATTACCATGTGTTTTTGAAGGTTGTGTTAAAATGTTGAAATTCTAATGTGTGTTTTAAACCCTGACGTCACGATCTGCGTGAGGGGCGCCACCGAATTTCAGAATTTCGAGGGTGTCCCTAGCGAAACGGCCAGACAAATCGCGAACGCGGCGCCCTGCGTACGCATCAATCGCCTCTGAGCCCTACTCCATCGGAGAGGTGCGTATGATAATACATATATATATACAAGTGGCACGTGTGTGCCCAGGCTCATACAACAAGCTGAAGGGGCGTTTGAAGCAGGAGTGACATGCAACAGCGAAGTCGCACTCGAGCGCAAGTGGGGTTGCCACACCTTGCGATGTGTGTACCAGGGCCCCCCAGGAAGCCTCAGGAGGCCCGACTTGGATACCAGGAGAGGCTCCAGGAGGCCCCAGGATTGTGAGTGTTGTGTGTGTGTGTGTGATGTGTGCTTTGTGTGGTGCGTGCTTTTTGCGTGTTGTCGGTGCTGTGTGTGTATGTTATGTTTGTCTAGCGTGTGATGTGTTGGGCGTGATTTGTGTCTCTGTGTGTGCATGTAGTTCTGAAGCCCCAGGAGGCCCCAGGAGGCCCCAGGCGGCCTCAGCAGGCCCAGGAGAACTCCAGGAGGCTCCGAGGCGGGGTCTGGGGTACCAGAAGGTCCAGAAAGCCCCAGGAGGCCCCAGGAGGTTCCAGGAGGCCCCCAGGAGGCTCCGAGGAGGGGTCTGGGGCTCGATTTTGGGAGGATGTCTCAGGCGAAACCGCCATTCTCTGAGAATCGGAGTCAAAATCATTGAAATTACCATGTGTTTTTGAAGGTTTTATGATAAAATGTTGGAAATCCTATGTGTTTTTGGACCCTGACGTCACGATCTGCGTGAGGGGTGCCACCGATTTTCAGAATTTCGAGGATGTCCCGAGCGAAACGGCCAGAAAAATCGCGAACGACGGACGCATTAATCGCCTCTGAGCTCTACTCCCTCGGAGAGGTGCGTATGAGAATATATATATATATAGAGAGAGAGAGAGAGAGAGAGAGATATTGAAAAAGGTGCGTTCCCCGTCGGGAATGGGACGGTTTGGGCCACTTGGGGCTCTCCTGGAGGCCCTCCTGGGCCGTCTTGGGAGCCTCCTGGCCTGCCTTGGGGGCCTCTGGGGCTGTCGTGGGGCTCCCAAGGGTGCTCTGAGGCCGTCTTGGCGCCCCCTAGAGCCTCTCGGAGTCGTCCCGTTGGCCTCTTGGATGCTCTTGGGCTGTCTTGGGTGCGTCCTGGGCCGTCTCGGGCGCCTCTGGAGCCGTCCCGGGGCCGTGTGGGCCTCTGGGTGCGTCTTGAGGTGAGGTGGAGGGCCTCTATAGCCGTCTTGGACGCTGCGAGGGCGAAAAAACCGAACATAGCGAAAATGTGGGTTCCCCGTTGGAAATGGGACGGTTTGGGCCTCTTGGGGCCTGGAGACCCTCCTGGGCCGTCTTGGGAGCCTCCTGGCCTGCCTTGGGACCTCTGGGGCTGCCTTGGGGCTCCCAAGGGTGCTCTGAGGCCGTCTTGGCGCCCCCTGGAGCCTCTTGGAGATGTCCCGTTGGCCATTCTTGGCTGCGCTTGGGGCTGTCTTGGGTGCGTTCTGGGCCGTCGGGGCCGTGTGGGGCCCTTTGGGGGCCTCTGGGGGCGTCTTGGGGCGAGGTGGAGGGCCTGTATAGCCGTTTGGGAGCCCTTCTGGGGTGCTCTGGGGGCGTCTGTGGGCGATCGGGAAGGCTTGTATAGCCGTCTTGTTGGACGCGGTGAAGACGAAAAGAACGAGCATATCAAAAACATACGTTTCCCGGAGCGAATGGAGCAAGTTTTGCATCTTGGGTCCCTCCTGGGTGTCCTGGCTTGGGGTCCTCTGGGGCCGGCTTGGGCGCCTCTTGGGCCATCTTGGGGCTCCCTGGGCCGTCTGGGGACGCGCTTGGAGGCCTCTTTTGCGGTCCTGGGACGGTCTTGTGGTTCTCTGCGGCCGTCGTGGAGCGTCGGCTAGCCGAGAAGGCGAGAAAGCAACATTCCCTCCAAAACCATTGAGAAAATAAGGATTCTGGCCTCTGGGGGCCTGCTTCGGGGTACTGTTGGAGGCTCTTGGCGGCCTCGTGGGGGGGTCTTGGGGCCTTGTGTGGGCGTACGGGCGCCCAGGGCTCGGAGTGTCAGGGTTTTTCCTTATTCTTTGGTCCCCTCTGGGGCATGGCTTGGGGTCCTCTGGGGCTGGCTTGGGCGCCTCTTGGGCCATCTTAGGGCTCCCTGGGCCGTCTAGGGACGCGCTTGGAGGCCTGTTGGGCCGTCCTAGGGCGGTCTTGTCTCTTCGGCCGTCTTGGAGCGTCGGCTAGCCGAGAAGGCGAGAAGGCAAAACACCTGCAAAAACAATTGAACAATTAAAGATTTGGCATCTGGGGGCATGCCTCGGAGGACTGCTGGAGGCTCTTGGAGGCCTCTAGGGCCTTGTTGGGGGCCCCCATGGGCCATATGGAGGACGCGCTTGGAGGCCTCTTTTGCGGTCCTGGGACGGTCTTGTGGTTCTCTGCGGCCGTCGTGGAGCGTCGGCTAGCCGAGAAGACGAGAAGGATTTTGGCCTCTGGCGGCATGCGTCGGGGTACTGTTGGAGGCTCTTGGCGGCCTCTTGGGGGGTCTTGGAGCCTTGTGTGGGCGTATGGGCGCCCAGGACTCGGAGTGTCAGGGGTTGTCCCCGTGCTTCGGTCCCCTCTTGGGCATGGCTTGGGGTCCTCGGGGGCAGTCTCGGGCGCATCTTGGGCCATCTTGGGGCTCCCTGGGCCGTCTGGGGACGCGCTTGGAGGCCTGTTGGGCCGTCCTGGGGCAGTCTTGTGGGTGTCTTCGGCCGGATTTGAGCGTCGGCTAGCCGAGAAGGTGATCAGGCAAAACACATGCAAAAACCAATGACAATTAAGGAGTTTTGGCCTCTGGGGACATGCTTCGGTGGACTGTTGAAGGCTCTTGGAGACCTCTAGAGCCTTGGTGGGGTCCTCTAGGGGGCCTCGTGGGCCTTGTTGGGGGCCTCTAGGGGGCCTCTTGGACGCTCCTTGGAGTCTCTGATGGCCACTTCGGCGCGTCTTTGGGGGGAGGGCTGGATTTGCGACGCGCGGGGGCCAGGATCTGCGTGAGGGGTGTCGAAACATGGCCCTTCCAGGGAGGGCAAAGTGCACGACCTTTTCGCACGCCCTTCCGTCTGCCATGGAGAAGAGACTAGTGTGAACCCGTGGTTGAAATCCAGGGTATGCTGAACCTGGGACCCACACACCGTGGGTGAACAGCTCATCGAAGTTGAACAGCTCGGGCGTCCCTGGGGCAGTGTCGGGATCGTCTTGGGGCCGTCGTTCCAGAGGGCACGATGAGGGACCGGGGAGGGTCCCAAGAGGGCTCCAAGAGGGCCCCAGGACGCCGCCGAGCGCGGGCCCACCGTTCTGCCACGAGAGGCTTTTCTGCGGCAGAATGCACCTGGCCCTATCTTGGAGGGGCCCGAAGGCCCCAGGAGGGCCGCAAGAGCGCCACCAGGGGCCCCAAGAGGGCCCCAAACCGCATGTACTTGATATGCTTCTTGGGCTTGCGAGAGGGGCATCCAAGTACATGCGTCATGGGGCCTTCTCGGGGCCCTCTGGGGGCCCTCCTGGCCCCCTCTTGGGGCCCCTCAGGAGCGCTCCGACCCTGTCCTGGCCCCCTCTTGGGGCCGCCATGGGCGCCTGAGGAGCTGTCCTGGCGCAGTCTTGAGCCGTCTTGGGGCCCTCCTGGCAGCCTCCTGATGCCTTTTGGGGCGATCTTGAGGGCCTGTCTGGCCGTCTTGGACGCTTCGAAGACGAAAAGCAAGGGAACTCATGAAATGTACGCTTTCCCTAGGGATTGGGACGATTTGTCCTGTTCGGGCTCTCCTGGGGATCTCTCTGGAGCCCACTTCCAATATTTTGGTTGCCTCTTGGGCCGTCGGGGGGCTGTCGTGGGCGTCTTCGAGCGCTCGGGGCCCGTCTGGGATGCCCTCTTGGACTGTCTTCGGCCGTCTTCGGGCCCTCTTGGGGGCCTCCGGGGGCTCCGAGCGCCTGCCCGCAGCGGGCCGAGACGGGCAGAGGCGGGCCGAGGCGGACCGATGCCAATGGGCCCTCTTTTCGCACGCGCTGATTCCGGTACTGCAGTTTGGATAACGTCGGGCTCCAGGCACGCTGCCCGCATCTCGCTGAGCAGCGCCACGGCCCGCTGCCACTGCTCGCCCTTTTCGCACGCGCTGACCCCAGCGTTGTAGCTGACTAGTGTGAGCCCGTGGATTAAATCCACGGCGTGCTGAACCTGGGGCTCGCACACCGAGGGTGAACAACTCGTCGGAGCTGAACATCTCGGGAAACCCTGGGGCCGCGGCGGGACGATGTCGGGCCATCCTGCGAGCCGGCCTGGGACGTCTTGAAGGCCTCGCGCGGTTCCTGGGCGCCTCCAGGGCGTGCTGTGAGGCTGCTGTCTCCATGTCGCCCCTGAGGTTGCACTAGCTGCAGGGCCTGCAGCAGGCTCCGGGAGCCGAGGCTGGAGTGGGGGTCTGCTCCATCTCGGGGTGGTCCAGGAAGGTATATATATATATATATATATATATATATATATATATATATCGTGGTCTTGGGGCTGTCTTGAGGGCCACAGAGGGCTCTGCTCGGCCGCATGGGGGGGAGCGAGATGCTGGTCCCCGCGGCGTCTGCGAGTCTGTCACCCGTAATCGGCCGTAGAGGGGGAGCGACCGAAGTGGCTGCAGGTCCAGAGTGGAGTCCCCAGAGCGGCAGGAGCCTCGATGAGGGAAGGAGGAGAAGGTCAGAGGAGAAGGTTCCCCCTGTCACCCCTAATCGGCCGTAGGGGGGGATCCATCGGGCGCCGCTGACGCCGCTGGTGTGCAGCGTGGGCGAAGTCCCATCGGGGGCCGCGGGCGCGGCCGGACAAATTTGACATCCTTGTTGGTTTTGTCCGGGGGCTCTGCAAGGCTGTCCTGGAACGCTCGTGGAGCCTCCGCGGGACCCATCGGGGGGCCTGACGCCGCTGGCGTAGCCTCGGCGAGGCTTCATCGGAGCTCGCGGCCCCGGCTGGACCAATCTGACATTCTTGTTGGTTTTTGTCTGGTGGCTCGAGCGGGGCTGTCAGGGAACGCTCGACGGGCCTTCGCGGGGCCCTCCTGCCCCGGTCTGGGGGCCACCCCGGAATGCAGTCGGGAGGCTCCAGAGACTCTGGGGGCTGACCTGGAGGTGAAAAGGGATGAGTTAAATTTTTGCGAATCGCGCCGGGCCTGGGCGCGATTAGCAAAAACACAAAAAGGTTTCCAGGCACAGTCAGAGTGAGGGGGCCACGTGTGCGGGCCTCGGTGGGGGGGCCGCACAGGGCGGCCACGTACTGGGGCCACGTGGGGTGGCCTCCGTCTCCGCGGACGACGGATGGGAAGGTGGAGTCAGAAGCGGCGAGCAATCCCGGGGCTCGGGGGCCGTGCCGGGGGCCCTCCGAGACCCTGTCCGGGGTTTCTCGGGGCGTCTTGGGGCCCTCTTGTGGGTCTCGGGCCGCCTCGGAGGTCGCTTTGGGCCCTCTTGGGCGGAATCTGGGGCCCTTCTTGGGGCGTCTTAGGGCCCTCTTGGGAGTCTCGGGCCGTTTCGGAGGTCGCTTTGGGCCCGCTCGGGCAGGATCTGGGACCCAAGTTAGGGCTGACTTGGGTGTCACTTGAAGCTCTCTTGGGCCTTCTTGGGGCCCTCTTGGGCCGTCTACGGGCCTTCTTGGGCCGTCTGGGAGTCCTCCTTGGGTCCTCTGGAACCGTGCAGGGGCGATCTGGGAAGCCCCCGGGGCCATCCTGGGCCGTTGTAGGCCCGAAGTGGCGGGAACAGGCAAACTCTCGAACCTTCGGAAAACGCACAAGTGTTGCCTCTTGGCGCCGTCCACGCGGTCCTCGGGGGCCGTCTCTGAGGCCTTTTTGGGCCGTCATGGGGCTCCCGTCGGGTCGGCTTCTGCCATCTTGGGCGTCTGTGAGGCCGTCTTGGGGCGATCTGGGGTCCTGGAGCCGTCGGCGAGCCCCGGAGGCTCTCCGGGCGGCCCGCGGGCTCTGCGGCACGGGGCGCTGCCACTGCTTCTGCTACTCGCACGCGCTTCGCCCGGAATTGTGGTACAGACTAGGGCTGACCCGTGGACTGCGTCCACGGCCTCTTTCTCAAAGTGGCGTCCAGGGGAAAGGCAGAAACGCTGCCGAAAAAGGTACCAACATGTCGGCGAGACGCGCGTCTCCAGCAGGAGCGCCTGCAGGCGCCGCTCGACGCCGTCGAAGACGCGGGTGGCGGCAGCGGCGGCACACTGAACGGGGCTGTGGGATGTACCTCGGGCTTCTGGCGGCCGTCCAAAACATCTGGGAGCGTGTCTGGCGGCTCCTGGGCTCAAGACGGGCCCCAGTCTAAGACCTCTGGGGAGCTTCTTGGGTCAATTCTGGAACCTCCTGGTAAGCTTGCTGGGGGCATCTTGGAGGCCTCTTGGGGGCCTTCGGGGCTTCTTGGGGGCCTCGTTGACCGTCTTATGGGGTTTCCTGTTCCACCTGACGCTGGCGGGAGCCGTCTTGGATTCTTGGCCGTCTTGAAGGCCTCGTGGGCCGTATTGGGGTCTTTTTGGGGCCGTCTTGGAGGCCTCTTGGGCCGCTATGGGGCCCCATCTTGGACGCCTCTTGCGCGATCTTGGGGCGATATTCGTGGCCCATTGGGCCGTCTTAGGCCATCGGAAGGCCGAAGAGAAAGCACATGTCAAACCCCACCAAGCAACCACCAGAAAATAAATGTTGGGCCTCTGGGAGCCTTCCTGGAAGCTCTTAGAAGCCTGTGGAACCGACTCCGGGGCCACTTGGGCGCTTCTTGGGCCGTCTCTGCGGTCGTGGACACTCTTGGACCATCTCGGCGGTCGTGGAAGTATCTTGGGACCGTCTTCGAAGCCACCTTGGGGCTATCATGAGCTCTCTTGAACTATTTTGACCGTCTTGGAGGCATCTTGGAGGCCATCTTTGATCATCTTGCCCGTCTTGGGGCCGATGGAGCCAATGAAGACCGAAATTTGGAAGCTTCCCATGTGGCCGGCGCGCTGTGCCGAAGTCCCATAGGGGAGTCCTGAAAGAACTCAAAAGCATCATGACCTCAATACGACAGGCGACTCTGTGATAGATCAACAGGGGGCGGCGGATCGAAGACGCCTACGGCGAATCACCGCCGCCCTCTACCTGCTCGAACGTCGTGACCAGAGCCCTGCCAAACAACTGGACCATGTGTTCCCCCAGCATTCATGGACACCCTTCGGGAACCACGCGGGGTAACAAAAATAATTAGCGGAGGAGATGAAGGAAAAAAACAAGGAGGAAGAGGAGGCGGAGGAGGCTGAAGAGGAGGAGTAGCAGGACCAGTGTAAACCCAGGACTCATGAACGATGTTAGAATTACCCCTTCCTCCAAGCTTCCTCTTCTTAGGCCCCTACAAGGCTTCATTTCCACTGAAAGAACTGCCTCGTTGGGTGACAATGGTTTGAAGACCCTGAAGTGTGCCAAAACACCGTTCTCGGGACTCGAAAGCACCGAATCCACTTGACTGTTGCGCCTTGACGATCCGGAATCGTGCGAGAATCAACGTGACTGTTGCGCCCTTACAGTTCAAAGTCCTTCCAAAACCCCATTTATGGCACGTTGAGTGGGAATCCGTGAAAAGTGTGGCAACTGTTTAAGACGACAGTGCGCGGCGCTAAGGCGAGAGACACATGTTGAATTAGACGTCTTGGAGCCTCCTGGCGGCCGCCAAGGGCCGTCCAGGACCGCCCCAGGAACGCCGAGATCCGCCCTGGCCAGCTGCCACTGCAGGGCAACCTCGCACGCACTGACCCGAGCATTTTAGGATAGATAATGTTGAGCTCCAGCATCGACTCCCGCATCTCGCCGAGCAGCGCCAAGGCCCGCTGCCACTGCTCGCCCTTCCCACACGCGCTGATCCCAGCGCTGTAGCTGATCACGTCAGGCTCCAGCTGCGCCTCCCGCATCCCGCTGAGAAGCGCCAAACCCCGCTGCCACTGCTCGCCCTTGTCGCACGCGCTGATCTCAGCGTTGCAGCTGACTAGTGTGGACCCGTGGAGCAGCTCCGTGGAGCAAATCTGCAGGTGCCCTGGCAGGGGGACGCGGCGGGGTCTCTGGGCCATCTTTGGTCGTCGTGGGCGCCTCTTGGGTCGTCTTGGGGCTTCCCATAACTTGTCCTGCAACTCTCCTGGGCCGTCTCGCAGCCTTGCAGGAGGTCCCGGAACCACCTGGGACATCTTGGGCGCCCGGGGACTCGCTGGAAGGCACTTGGGGCACCTGAAAATCCTCTTGCGGGACGCTTGTGGATTCTGTTGGGCCTCATCTTGCCTTCTCGGATGCCTCTGGGAGCTTTGGGTGCAGGGGTCTCCCGGAGCCCTCCTGGGAGACCCTGGGGCCCCATGGAGCTCCAGAGGCTTCGACGGCCCCCTGCCACTGCTCGCCCCGTTTCGCACCCGCGCCAGCCCAGAACGATTCATGAGGTAACGTCAGGCTCGAAATTCGCTTCCCACATCTCGCTGATCAGCGCCAAAGCCTTCTGCCACTGCCTGCCCTTACTGCATGCGCCAGCAATCGAGCTGTAACAACCTGGGCTCAATCTCGCATGCGACCGAGACACCTCGCGGAAGATATGCAGCGCTGCTCTCCATTGCGTTGTCCTCCCGCAATTCTTGATGGCTGCTTCGAGGGGAGAACCACGCTGTCGTAATCCTCCACGGGTGTCTCGCATCCAAGGAGATCCTGAACCACAAGGTCTTGTGCCAGAATGGCAAGCAATGCGCGAAGGGCAGGGTGAATTCCAGGGGGAGGGTGGAACGAGGAGGTCGCCAGAGGTCTCCAGATAGGAATAAGGAAAACCGACACCACCACCACCAGGGACCACCAGCAGAAGCCAGGTGGGGGTCCCCATGCTGGTGTGATCCCCCCCCACTCGCTCGAGACATCCCCTGTCCCCGGCTCGCTCGGAGAGGCATCATGGACCTCCTCGCTGAAGGTGACCCCCTGGTGGTAGGAGAGCTCATTAACGAATCGATAACTCGGATCGGCGATTGAAATGAATCGGTTCGGCGGGAATCGGCAGCCAAATCGGGAGAAGTCGAATTAACGGAAATCCGCATGCCTGTCAGGCCTCCTCCTTGAGAAATCGGCATCTGGATCGGAGTCCCAAGTCGAATCGAATCGAGATCGGCAGCCATCAACATCGAATCGAATCGAGTCTGGGACAACCAAAAGGCGGCGATACCACTACTCCACGGACCTCTCCTGGGGCGCGTTCTGACCAGAATGTCGAGGCGAATCCGGCGGTGGCGACGAGGGCCTATGAGGAGGCCCACGGATGGGAACACGCGGGAAGGGGGAGGGGCATGGGTACCTCCTCCTCCTCCTTCTCCTCCTCCTCCTCCTCCCAGTTCTATCCTTGTCTCTCTCTCTCTCTCTCTCTCTCTCTCTCTCTCTCTTCTCGTTCTCCACATCTCTCTCTCTCTCTCGCTCTCTCTCTCTCTCTCTTTCTATATCTCTCTTTCTCTCTCTCTCTCTCTCTCTTTCTCTCTCCCTCTCTCTCTATCCCTCTCTCTCTCTCTCCCTCTCTCGCTCTCGCTCCAAGACCTCCCCGCCGCCTCTTCGGCTCGCCCGGGGCTCGGCCCGCCTCCTGCGCCTCTTTCGCCTGGTCTCTCCACAGAGCGGGGGTCCGGACACCCCTGGCGCACGGGGGACCGCGAGGCACAGGGTCCCGCCCCCTCTCGGCGGCGAGCGAGGGGGGGAAATGGGCAGGAGAAGGCCTCCTCCGAAGGCGGCGGGACTTCTCGGAAGCCCTGGCGCCTCCTGAGAAGTCTCCTGCGTCTTCGGGGAAGGCTTCGAACAATTCCCAGAAAGCTGGGGGACTAGCCGCCGAGCCTCTCCGCCTCCGCTTGTTACTTGTTCCTGCCTGCGCAGAGTGCCCGCTGTCGGTCTCTCTACTGAAGCTAGCCTACGGGACGCGCGGACCCCGAGATCCCGGCGCGGCATTCTTCTTCTCACAACCGGCGTCGTCGCCCAGCTTCGGGCCCCAAGGGCCCTCACAGATCGATCCAGCTCGAAATACATGGCGCAGAGGGAGGGGGCCCATAGGGCTCCGGCCGCGAATCTCTCGCGCTGTCGGCACTTCTCCGAGCTCGTGGGATCTGCGAGGAGGCTGCCCACGGGAAGGGCGCGCCGCTGCTCGCGACCGCTGCCGCTGGCTGGCAGCACTGCCGAGGGCTGCCGGCCACGGGCGCGGAGGCAGGCAGAGCGTGCGAGGGGCTGATCCAATGGCTCACGATGGTCACCACCAATCGGCGGCGAGCGAGGGGGGGTAGTGAGAAGGAGATGGCGGCCTTCTCAAAAGCGGCGGGGCCTCTCAGAAGACCTCGGAAGGCCTCGGGACGCCTGAGAGGTTTTATGGTGTGTCTTCGGGAAGGGCTTGGGGAACTTCTCTGAAGACCGGGAGATTTGCGAACCTTCCGAGTAGGCCTTCTCCTTCTCACTTCCCCCCCTCGTTCGCCGCCGAAGCAAGGACCAGTGCATTGACCAGCATTCTAGTCTGCGTCGCCTCGCAGGGAGCTGCGCCAGCGCCGCAGCGAGGGCAGGAGGGGGGGGGGTACGAGAGCGACGAGGACGACGAGGAGTAACGACGACGGGAATAAGGAGGAGGGAGAGTGAGAGAGTGAGAGATGTGAGAAGGAGGAGGCAGAAGAGGAGAATGCGAGGCAGGAGGAGGAGGAGGAGGTAGAGGGGGAGGCTGATGACGAAGCCCCCACCGTGCCTGCACGGAACGGGCATGTTAGAATGCACCTCTGCTGTTCGGTGAGGTTTCTTTCGTGCTTTCTCCGGAAGGACCCCCTCCCTCGTTCCGAACGCCCTCTGAATGCCACCTCTCCTCTCTGAAACCAGTGTAGGGCCATGTTCCAAACTAAGTTACTTACATTGATGGATAGCTAACGTGGGCCCCAAACGGTGAGATTTGCTCGCACGGTTGGAATGCACCGTATGCGGTGCAAGCTATGCGGCCTGAGCTGCGTGATGCAGACCACGTCGTGCAACCCATGTGTTTTTGTGTGCTGTTTTGTTTTGCTGTGCTTGTTTGCTTGCTTGCTTGTGTGTGTGTGTGTTTTTGTGCTGTGCAGTTTGTGCCCACGGTGCGCCCACGAGCGCCCACGAGGCGACGCGGGCGGCAGCCTGGCGCAGCACCGGCCGGCCCACCCCGGCGCGCGGGGCGCCCACGGGCGCCCACGGGGCAGCAGGGGCGGCAGCGCGGCGCCGCCTCCGCCGACCCACCCCTGCGCGCGGGGCGCCCCGCGAGCGCCCACGAGGCGGGCAGCGTGGAGCGTCATCGGCCGGCCCGTGCAACCACTGAAGCAACTCGGAGTCCCTGCCGTGCAATCACTGTTTGGGGAATGAGGGGCATGCAATCCGCGAGCTTTCAGTCGGGCCTGTCCCCCTACAGGGGGACTGTCGACGGTTTCTGTTCATATAAAAAATGCCCCCAAAAAGGTTAACACATATTTAAGAAATAATCCCCAGACTATGTTTGGACTATTTGTTTGACTATTTTTGGTGTATGTTTGATTTTTGGTCGAAAATCCCCCTGTAGGGGGACAGGCCCGACCTAAAGCTAGGTTTGGGGGGGTCAAAACAGGTGCTCAGAGGGCGGTCAAAACAGCAACTGCAAAAACATGCCTCCCCAGAGAAGAGACAAAGAAGCTCCCCCGAGGACCTCAGGCGGACTCAATGTGGCTTGAAGCCTGCCCAAAGAGGCCCCCCAGACGGCACAAGAAAACCCTCGAGAAGTAACACTCATGGAGCTTCCCCAAAATTCTTGTTTCGAAGATTTTGTTCTGCTAATCCTCTCTGGCTTCCGAAAGCCCAGGGCGGCACAAAAGAACACCAAACCGGCCCGAAAAGGCCCAAGACGGCCCTCAAGATGGCGCAAGGCGGCTCCAAGACGGCCCCAGGCCTCCAAAAGGGCCCCAAGAGGGGGCCCAAGAGGGGGAGCCCGAGCTGGCCTCGACAGCCTTTTCCTGCAGGATTGCATCCAAGAGCCAGCACATGCCCCCAAGCGGCTCCCAAGAGGCCCACAAGACGCCCCCAATAAGCCCAAGAGACTCCAAAGAGGCCTCCCAGATGTCCTCCTACAGACCACCAGAGGCCTCCCAGACGGACCTCAAAGGCGCTCGATAAGCCCTCAAGATGCCCCCAAGAAGCTCCAACACACGTTTCAACTCAGCCTCTTTCGCGCTGCGCTGTTGCACAAACGCGGTGGCGGGTCTTGGTCGCAGGCAGTTGGAGATGCCTTGGCGGCGCGCCGGTGGAGGCCTTCTCAGTAGGCGGCGGGGCTTCTCTGAAGTCCTGCGGCCTTGTGAGAAACCGCCTGCGTCCTCGGAGGCCTAGAGAGCTGCTTTGAGGGTCGGGAGCGTAAGTGGCCCGATGCGCAACACGCAGCACGTGACGTGGCGCCACGAAGCCCAACACGTAGACTGAACACGCAGGTCTGGCACGATGCGTTCGCGAAAACGTGGACCAACACGTGCCGAGCCAACACGCAGCGTGTGAGCTCGAGAGCTTCGAACCAAGGGCGTGTTGCGTTTGAACACGGGCGTATGAGGGCAGCCAACGCCGGAAACCTCCTGAGTCTTCTGAGAAGGCCAGGAAGAGGAGGAGGAGGAGGAGGAGGAGGAGGAGGAGGAGGAGGAGGAGGAGGAGGAGGAGGGAGGAGGAGAGGAGGAGGGGAGGAGGAGGAGGAGGAGGGGGAGGAGGAGGAGGAGACAGAAAAAGGAGGAGGAGAGAAGAGGAGGAGGAGGAGGAGGAGGAGGAGGAGGAGGAGGAGGAGGAAGGGTGTGGGGGAGCAGGAGGCGAAGCAGGAGGAGGCGGAGCCCCCATCTGCCTCCCCCTCTGGGGCTCGCCGCCGAGAGGCGACGAGAGCGGCCCGTCTCCTCCGGGGCGCCACGCCTGGGCCGCACGAGCCACCGGGGTCAACGCCGACCCCCCGGGGCCGGCCCGGGCCCCGCTGCGCAGCCCCGCCGGCCGCCCAGGAGTTCCGGCGGCGGCGGGGCAGGTGGCAGTCCGCACTGGCGCGGGGCGATGGGCAGGCGATGGGCCAGTTGTCCGGCGTCCAGGAGGGAGAGACTAGGGGGAAAACTAATCTTGACCGTCTTGAAGCTGTCCTCTCCACTGCTCGTGCAAACATCCCACCCTCCCACCCGCAACTTGGTCGCAAGACCTCTTCAGACAAGACCGTGACGGTAGGTACCACATGGCACTTGGCCACGACACCGATGCCGACGACGACAGCGACATCGACGACGACGGCGCCGCCGACAGCGACTGCGACGTCACCGACGACGTCTCCAATGTTTTCGACGGCGACAACGACGACGACGACACCGACGACGACGACGACGACGACAACGACGCCGACGACGACGACGAAGACGACGACGACGACGTCGCCAACGGAGACGACGACGAGGGAGGAGGAAAAACGACGACGGCGACAACGACGACAACGACGATGGAGGAGGGAAGACAGCAAACGCCAACGACGAAGAAGGAGGAAGGACGGCGACGCCGACGACGACAACGACGAGGGAGGAGGGAAGACGACGACGATGACAACGACGACGAAGACGACGACGACGACGGCGACGAAATGAAAGGACGACGACGAGACGCCGACGACGGACGACGACGACGAGGGAGGAGTATAACGACGAGGGAGGAGTGAAGACCACGACGACGACGACGACGACGGCGACGAAATACGAGGGACAACGACGAGACGCCGACGAAGACATAGAGGGAGGAAGGACGACCACGGCGACAACGACGACGGAAACGACGACGACGCCAAGACGACGACAACGACGACGAGGAAAGACAGAAGACGACGACGGCGACGACGACGACGACGACGAGGGAGGAGGGAGGACGACGACGACGACGACGACGACGACGCAAGAGCGCGCGCGCACGCTTTTGTTGAAAATCCGTGTTGCGAAACCTTGGATTTTTGTAAGTTTTTTGGACGCACGATTTTGAAATCCTTCTGAAACCGATGGTTTTTGAAGGATTTCGGCGTACGCGCGCGACGACGCGCGCGTCTGCACTTCGTCCCATTTTTTGCAAAAAGGATTCTCGCGACGGCACACGCGCAAGGGCGCTCGACAGATTTCGACATGCGCGCGCGCGAAGCCCGTTCGGTAGCATGTTGTGAATATCTTGGAAAACCTATGGTTTTCTTAAGATTTCGCAAGACCTCACGCGGGAGTTTTTTTAGCAAATCAGTGTTGCGAAACCGTGTGTTATTCTATGTTTTTCGGAAACTCGATTGCGAAATCCTTCCGGCACCGAAGGTTTTTGAAGGATTTCGGCATGCGCGCGCGACGACGCGCGCGTGTGCACTTCGTCCCATTTCTTGCAAGGGATTCGTGAAAAAGTGCTATGTTAGAACAACAAATGTCACCGCATAGTGTTTTTTTTTACAAGGGACCCGCAGGGGGGGAACCCGGCTTGGCTGGGATAGTATGAATTCATATTTAGGATGGACATGTGGTCAGAATCGTATGTAATTTACAGCACGCGCGGGGTAACCGATAAGTCCGGGGGGGGGTAGAATCTATTAGTCTTTCAGAAAGGAGAATAAACCTACCTCGCTGTTGACCACCCTCGCTTCCAAGAGATACCAAGCGATGCCAAACTACGGCCTGTACTGGTCATGCCGCTTGACGAGGAGGCGCGTGGTCTGACTCGGTTTTGCCTGGAAGCGAAAGCGGGGTAGGTAATTCACGCTCTGAGAGACGAAGACGAGGGCGGCCCCGCGAGGGAAGGGAGGGGAGGCGCTCAGGCGTGGGAGAGTTCCGCGGTGAGCGGGCCGGAGCGGCCAGCCAGGGCAGCGGGGACCGCGGCAGCAGCGGGGGCTGGGGCCAGGGCGCACCCGCGGGCGCTGCCAGAGCGTCTCGGAAACAATGGAGATTCAGGTTTTTCATAGTTCTCGGCCTCTCGGGGCCCTCAACAGGCCTCCGGTTGTCAGCAAAGGACTCGGGAAGAGAAAAACAAAAAATATCCTAAGGAGGTGGTCGAGAGGTCGGGGGGGCGCGTCTTGAAAAAGTCGCGACGCGGGATGTCTGGGTCCCAACTCGGGTCGTCAGCGGAGGGCGGAGATTTGTGTTCCCCCATGCCGGTTACACCATCCATGTCAGAGTGCACACGCAAGTGCGAAGAGGGGCCAGGACACATAGAATGGAGCGGGGGCTCCGAAGCCTGGGTCAGCCAGGGGGGACTGGCTGATGCCCGTTAGCGTTCACCCCCGTGAGCACTGAGCCCCGGTCCCATAAGAGGCCGCCCGACCCTGGGGGGGGGCTCAGAACGGGAAGCCGCCGCCGAAGAAGCTGCCAAAGGGGAAGCCGCCGCCGAACGACGGGCCCGCGGAGCGCGCCCTCCTCCTCGGAGGCTCCTCGCGGAGACAGGGATGGCATGCGGCAAGATCGTATCGTGACGATCCCGGCGGTGGTTTCTGACGCCGCGCGCATCAGTGGCGCTGAGCCGGCCGACTCTACAAGTGTTTTTGTTGCTGGCGTACGTTCGCCTTGGAACTCAAGTGGACCATCAGCGGACTCTTTTCCAACCTAAGACAGCCTTTCCTGTATTATGGGGTAGTGGTGGTGGTTGTGGTTGTTGTGGTGGTGGTGGTGGTGTTGGCGGTGGTGGTGGTGGTGGTGGTGGTGGTGGTGGTGGTGGTGGTGGTGGTGGTGCCACTTGTGGTGCTCGTTTCGGATAGCCTCGAGCGCTCGGCGGCTCTTCGGTCGCCAGATCGCTACATGTTGGCCGACTCTGGCCCAGAAATCCGACGTTCAACCAGGGGCGCGGGCGACGGGGTCGCTGCGGCGTCGGCACGACGAGACGCGGCCCCACCTCCTCCTCCTCGCAGGCTCCTCGCGGACAGGAGCCTCGTTTGGGTGGCATCCACGAGAGGGGGTGCAGAGAGACACGAAAGCATAACACACACTCCAGGATCCCCACTATTCTAAAACATTGTCTCGGTTTCCGTCTTTCCCCTCACTTCCCATATTTCCAAATACTTCCGTGGAAACCGACATGTACGTGTGTCTGTGCCTAGTTCTTCCTCCTGCTCCACCTTCTCCTGATGCAACAGAAATCACGGCGGGGGTGTTCTGGCAACTTGCGGCTTCTGGGAGCCCTCACCGGGCCCCGGGACCGTCACACAGCGCCTCGGGATGAAAAGCCAGTCCCGGGAGGGGGTCCAGACCTCCAGGGATCCACTTCGTCAGAAAACGTGACGTCGGAGGTCTGGGACGGCACACCGTTCCGCCGATCCCTGTCCCCCCACTGGCACGACGCTCTGCTGAGGAACGGCGGGGCAGGGAGCGGGCCGAGTGAGAGTGGTCGTGCCGGGAGGGAGGGAGCAGGAGGACAGGCAGGGAGGAAAGCGGGCGGAGGCACCACGCGAATCACAAGAGCAGGATGCGGCGAGAAGCACTGCGCCAACCCAGCCATCCTCCACGGGGGGGGATCCTCCTGCAGGACCCGCGCCTTCTTGGCCGCCGCCCTGGTGTAGAGCTCCATCTCCACCCCGTCCGCGGAGTCAGCACCGCGGGTCCTCGGGGCCTATCCCCAACAGGGGGGGGGGGGATGGTGGGGCTAAGATGCCATGGACCGGTTGGGATGGGGATAGTGTATGGGTTGGGTCCCCTGGGCTCCCTGGATGGGATGGGGTGGACACTGAGATCAGGGTATGCGTCCCCTGGGCCCCCAGACCTCATACATCGGGAGCAGGAACTCTCCAGGAGTGCGTTCTGGCCAGAAATCCATGGCGGATGCAGCCGTGGCGACGAGAAGCCTCGCGGGGGCCCCAGGAAAATGCGAAAATCACATCCAGAACCTGGGAAGGCAATACATGAACAGAAACGTTCGGACCTCCGCACGGACTTCTTGGATTGGCGCTGGACCCCCTTCCCTGGAGCGGGGAGCCCGTTGGCCGGCGCCTGAGGGGGCCCAGCGCCAGTCCAAGAAATCCGCCGGGAGCTCAAAAAGCTTATGCTTATGAGCTTTTCTTTTCGGCTCAAGCCCGGAACCTCGGTCGTTCGTTCGACCCTCTGGGGCTCCTCTTCCCCAAGATGGCGCTCTCGGCGCCGCGCTGCAGCAGCTCCCGGACCACCCGGTCCGCCTCTCGGGTCAGAAAGAAAGGGCTGAAGGGGCAACGTCAGGGGTGATGCATCGCAGATAGCTTTAGGTCGGGCATGTACCTACAGGCGGATCCTGGATGAATGATAAAGAACATCAGCAAACATATTCTTCAGAATGAATCAAACATAATAGCAACATCGTCCCCACACTACTTTTTGACCATTCTCGAATACTCCTTCTGCAGAGGGACACGCCCAAGATGGATCCGCCGAAGGCCGAAGCGAGCGAATCCGCACGGGGCCTGGGTGGGGCGGCGCTGGGCGGGCCCCCCTAGCGGCGCTGTAGATGGGCGAAGGGGGGGATGGCTGCGTCCTCCCCTCGGCCGGACACCCCCTGAGACTGCCCCTGAAAGTGGGGCGTGAAGGCCGGGCAGGGGACCGGCTATAGGATCGAATGATCCCGGAGTTTCGCAATCGTCGTCGACTCTACGGCAAGCTCGAGGCACTTCCGAAGGCCCCACACGCTTGCCGGAGACTCGACGAACATGTCAAGTCTGGGGCAAGTCAATCTTGCAGTCCACCCCCTGCTCGAAAAGGGGGAGCCCGAGAAGCAGCACACGACGCCCACAGGCTCCTGGAGGCGCCCCTGTGTCAAGCAGAACGCCCGGCGGCGGTCGCCGCAGGCGGCCGTTCGACACTGCTCGGGCACCCTCCAGGACGAAGCCAGGACGAGGATGAAATCGGGTGAGGATAACCTCAGCAAGCCATGCGGGACCCCCCGGGGGTCATCATTAGCACCGCACCGCACCGCGCATATGTAAGGAAAATGAATACTTCCCGCGCCCTGCTTTGGGTGGTATCCCTATTGGAATTAGAAGAGTAATAAGAATAATAAGAATCAGACTGCGAATCATAATAATGATAATAATGATAATAATCGAAATTAGGACTCCTGAGCATAATAAACATATGATTCCTGGATATGAGATAAAAAGTATTACACATAAAGAAGCAGTGATCATGATACTATAACACAATGGACAAATACAACATAATAATAATGAAACTACGAAAAATGCGAATAACCATACGAATAAGCATAACAACATAAATCGGCCGAGTAAGAGCAACATTGCGACTAAGAACACGAATGCGACTAAGAAAGCACACAATAATGCGAATCATAACGCGGCTAGTAATAATGATAATCATGAAAGAACTACTACGGATAAAACATCGAAAACTGAAGGGCTCCACTGCTTCTTTTCTCCCTCCCCCCTCCTGTCTCATTTTCCTCATCGTCTTTGTCCTATACAATTCCTATTACCAGTCCTATTGAAATATTGGTGTTTCCCGGCCGTCGTGTGGGGTACTGTATCCGAAGATGTCGCCCACGCCCCGCACGGAGCGTTATCTTAGCACCGCGACAACGCATAAAATAATTCTGAGCCCTCCACCACCCTGACAATAATAATAGTGATATCACGAAAAAGATCAATACTACACATAAGACTAAGAGCCAAAACAAATAATAAGACGGCTCCACATAATATTACAACAATGCGTGAGAATACGAATGAGAGTACGAAGAATAATCGGAATACGAATGAATACGAATAATAATGCGCATGCGAATGCGAATACGTTTGGAGATAAGGATGATGTCGAGAACAACAAGCATGAGAGTACGACTACGAATCGGAGTGCAAATGGGAGTACGTCTCAGAAGAATTACCATAATGCGAGGACTAAGAAGACCGATGCGAATAATAAGAATGCAAAAATAATGCGAGTAATTAAAATCACCATCCCATAATACTACTAGGAATAATAATGCGAGTCATAAAAAATGAAAGCATGAACAACAATAAGACTCGTACGAATGCCAACATAATTCGAAAACTGAAGGGCGCCACTGCTTCTTTCCGGGTACCTCGAGTCCTGCCAGGGCCTTCTCCAAGCTCTGCTGCTTACTTTAGAACCGCGCGTAAACCAGATCTGCGAGAATGTCTCCGGCGCTTTGCTTGCTTCGGCGGGCAGACTCGCCTGCGTTCAAAGCAGGCTGCGAGGTGCCAGGGGCAACGCTTCCAAGGTGCCAGATGCGCCATACTTTCGCAGGGAGGGGGAAGGTTCTTGACTGCTTACCCGGGTTCAATCGAGAATCTCTGAGAGCCAGCGCCTCTGGAGGATGTCTCCGGCGCCGCGGCCTTCTCAGAGCGTTCCGGAACGCTCCAGAACGGATTCATCCTCGTCATAACCCCGCCCGTAAAGGATTTATCCTCGTCCTAGCCCCGTCCCACCCCTAGCACGCTTTCGGCCCGGCGCAGCTGCTGGAAAGCATTTAAGAGACGAGGGAAACTCTCAAAGAACCAACCACCACTCCCGGAAACAACTTCCGAAACTTCACGGTGACCGGAAGCGTCCCAATCCCCATTGGGCAATGTTTGAAGGGGACAGCTCGAGCGTGAAGACATCCATCTCCTCCTCATCTTCCTCCTTCCTGTCCTCCTCCTCCTCCTCCTCCTCCTCCTCCTCCTCCTCCTCCTGCGCCTCCTCATCCTCCTCCTCCTCCTCCTCTTCCTCCTCCTGCGCCTCCACCTCCGCCGCCTCCTCCTCCTCCTCCTCCTCCTCCATCCTTCTCCTCCTCCTCCTGCGCTCCTCCTCCTCCTCCTCCTCCTTCTCCTCCTCCTCCTCCACCTCCACCTCAACCTCCTACTCCTCCTGCTCCACCTCCTGCACCTCCTCCTCCTCCTCCTCCACCTCCTCCTTGACCTCCTCCTGCGCCTCCTCCTCTTCCGCCTCCTCCTCCTAGAATCGGCGGTACATCGCCGGTAGATCAGCGACGGGCCCCACATGTCCAATCCGCACATTCCTGGTCGGACCTTTTCGCGACGGGACCAGCGACGGGCCCCCGATGTCCAATCCAATCGCGACGGGACCAGCGACGGGCCCCATTCGTCATTTTTGTTCACAACGTCGACCCCCAGAGGTCTGGACCCCTTCTCCAAGACCGGTTTTAGAATCTGAACCGTTTTTGTTGACAATCCCGAGGCCCGGCGAGGGCCCCCAGAAGCCGAAGATAGCGAAAACCCTCCCGTCCCGATCTGTTCACCACGCGAGGGGGTCTGGGAACGTGGCCCCCGACCACTGGCGGGATCCGTCAAAAACGTGCCGGCGGCAAGCCGTCAACCTGGCTACCGCGGGGGACCTCGCAGTGCTGCCAATGCAGACCGTAAGCTCCCTGGAAGATCAGCTTGGAGGACATCATTTTTGGGGGTTCTCACCCCCCTCGTGTCCGACGCGGGCCTCCGAGTCACCGCCGCAGGCCGCGGCCGCGGCGGTGCCCGCGCCCTGCCCGGCCGAGTCGGAGTCGGTGGAGGCGCCCCCGCCGCAGAGGCTGGCGGACTCGTCGGAGGAGTCGAGCGCGCCCTCCTGCGGGCATCAGGCGTCAGCAGGAGAGCCCAGAATCGAATCGACACGTCGAACCGGCGGTCGAAACCAATCGGATCGGCGGAAGGCGGCAGCCGAGTCGGAGAAGTCGAATCGGCAGGGCCTCCATGGAGAAATCGAATCCCAAATCGGAATCCGATGTCGAATCGAATCGAAATCGGAATACATCGAAATCGAATCGAATCGAATCGGAGGAATCGAAACGAGCCCTGCTTTAGGGAGGCCACAGATTTGGACGACCGAAGTGGGCACGGACAAAAACAGGCGCGCTGCTCAACAACAAGTGTTGTCCCAGGCCGGCAACGGCGGCTGTTGGGCGGGCGGCCTTCTGCCTCAAATGGACAGTGGCCGCGGCGGCACGGACAGCGAGCCTGGGTCAAAACGAACGGGAACTCTTGTTTGGGCGTCGTACCCAATTTTTCCGTACTCCAGATTTCGTAATACAAGGGAGGGGGTCTGGACCCTCCAAGACAAGCCATTTCAGACCTCCCCCACGGGAGAACCCTCCAAAACATCGTCCCCAGACCCCCCAGGCCCTCCAAGATAGCCTGGAAGAGACCCCCCACCGAAATGAGACCCCCCTCCCTTTATTACGAAATCTGGAGTACCCAGTTCGATCGTGCCGAACAGAGGACGTACGCGCCCAAACACGCACACGAGCGCATCACCCCTTCTCCTCCAGACCAGCCACGTGGTGATACGAGCGGAAGCGCAGTGCGCACTCGTGAAACCAACTTGGATTCATGTACGAACGTCTGCGTCCTTCTTTCGCTCCTGAAGTTTGGCGGCGCGCACAACCCACCCACCCCCCAGCGAGACAAAACAAACGCGGCGGGTGGGGGCAATGTTCGGCCTCTGGGAGGCCCTCACTGGGCCCCGGGGACCGTCAAGGAGAGGCTCGGGGTGAAAGTGTGGAACCCAGACGGTACTGATACCGCTACTCCCGGGACCTCTTCCAGGGTGCGTTCTGACCAACATTCCGAGGCGAATCAAGCGGCGGCGACGAGGGCCCCCCGAGGAGCCCCAAGAAGGGGAAATCGAAGCAAGGATAGCAGTACCTGTAGGTCGTAGGAAGTGGGTAGAACCATGAGGTCGGAAGACGTTGGAAGTAGATCGGGCTTCCGCCCGCCCTCCGAAGAGGAGGGAACAGGGAAAAACACTCGCTGATTGAAGTCGGAAGCCGCCGAACGTAGAGAGGAACCTGGGACTCCCCAAATACTCCCTTTCAACGACCGCCTGGCATCGGCACCGGATACACAGAACGGAACTTTATACACCGACGCTTTTCCCGGCCCTGCACTGCAATTTGCACATGAAAGCGGATCCTGGTGCATACGGGACCATGGTGTATACATGTCTCGTTGCTCCCCTGGGAAAACTGAAGAAAAAACGTATACAGCACACCCGCCCGATGTCGTCGCCGACCCCCGTACAACATCTGGACTTGACAAACAGCCCGCCGCTGGTATCTAGTATATGCCCCCGTTCCCGACCAAGAATACCCATCTTCAACGGCCGACTGGCATCGGCACCTTACATTAGAAGCCTCCTAGGCGGGGTCCGTGTAGGTGGGGTCGGAGGATCGCGCCGCATCGCCGATACATCGTCGATGCATCGGCGATGCTTCGGCGATGCGCCAGCGATGCATCGTCGACGTGGGCGATGCATCGGCGACTTCGGCGTGGAGCAGATCGTGCTCCACATCGAGTCGCATCGGCGATGCATCGGTGATGCGGCGCGATCCTCCGTCCCCGTCTACGCCGACCCCACCCGGGAGGCCTACACGTCGTTCATTTCTAATCGTGCTCATTTCTAATTGTGCTCGTTTCTAATTGTTCCTGGCCCCCCCAGTGGCCAGGAAGAGGCCCAGGACAGAAGAAGTAGAAATGAAAGTATCCCGGCCCCTCAAAAAAATCAAGGAACTCTTTCGACGAATTAGACATGAACAACATGTAGGCAGATCCTCCCGTGTGGGAAAACCTCCGCGGGGGCCCGCGCTTCGAGCAGACATCGCGGCGGCGGGGCCCCGGGAAGGGATGGCGGCGAGAGGGAGGCGGCCTCCCCCAGAGGGGCCCGGAAGGGAGGGGCGCTTTCTTGAAGAGTCCCCTGGGACACGCAAATAAATACACACAAATAACAGACCCCCCCCCCCGGATTTTCCTATATTTTCTGGGTGTTTGTCTTCCCCCCCACTTCCCATACTTTCCAATATTTTCTTGGGAATCGACGATTGCTCGTGTCTGTGTGTTTTTTTCCCTCCTGATTTCCCCTGGGCAGGTGGCCGCTTGGACGCTTCAGTGGGTTACTCCTGGGAGCCTCCCACACCATCTCGTCCGCTCTTGCGACTCGACGCCCATCTCGGGGGCGCGCAGACATGGATTGGTGATCCATGGATTCTGGCGCGCAGTCGCCAAATCCATGGATCGGGGGGAGGTGCCCTCCCCAAAATGCGGCAGGTGCCGCCTCGTTCGGCAGAGGAGGTCCGCGATTTCAAATGGAAACGGGATCCGTCGCTAATCCACGTCCCCATGATAAATTTCTGCGATCGCGTGGTAATCGACGCTAGAACGACGCTAAGTCGGCGCTATCTCATCGACTACCAGACGCTCATCGGCGCTAACCGAAGCTGAAAACGGAAGTGCGCGGGTATACCAGTCCCCACGATATGCCACCGAAAAATCCCCCAAGAATAACAACCATAACCCTGGGAAGCAAACAGTAAACCCCCCGGCGATATCGTTAGCACAGAAAATAAAATAAATAATTATTTTGGGCGGCACCCTCCGGCGATATCGTTAGCACATAAAAATATAATAAAATAATTAATTAATTTGCCCCCCCCCCAGGCCCGAAGCTGGCGGCAACGTGAGGCGACAGCCTGAAGAACCAATGCGCACGAACGCTTCCCAATGGTTTCCCGCCTAGAACACAGGGAAACTGACGCGCATCGGAAATCAAAGGTAAATCAAAAACGACAAACAATGAAATCACTGCAAGCAGCTATACTTGAAAGGACCCCCCAAAGGAATCCCAGAGGAATCTCAGAAGGAAGCCCACGCAGAATCTCAAAGGAACCCTATTGGAAATTCATCGCAATCTCAAAGGAACCCCACAGAAATCGCAAAGGGATCTCAGCGGCAGCTCAAACGAACCACGAAGGAATCTAAGGAATCTGGAAAACGCGGGCTCGCGTGGACATAAGCAATCCCTATTGCGACGGCACTAGGGAAATTGATTATTTCAGGGGATCCTATGGGAGAGTCCACGGAGAGATATCGCACGGGTTCTGCGAACCCCCCCGCGATATGTTAGCACATGTATTGAAAATAAAATAATCCACAAGCGCCGGAGGTCGATGTGATGCTCCCTTCAGGGATTGTCGAAGGAATGTCAGAGGATCTTGAAAGGACCCCCAAAGGAATCCCAGAAGAATATCACAAATAATCCCACGCATGATATCAAAGGAACCAATGAAAGTTCAAAGCAATCTCAAAGGAGCCCAACAGAAATCGCAAAGGCATCTCAGCGGCAGCTCAAACGAACCACGAAGGAATCTAAGGAATCTGGAAAACGCGGGCTCGCGTGGACATAAGCAATCCCTATGGCGACCGCACTAGGGAAATTGATTAAATCAGGGGATCCTATGGGAGAGTCCACGGAGAGATATCGCAGACAGATTCCGCGAACCCCCCCCGCGATATGTTAGCACATTTATTGAAAATGAAATAATCCACCGGCCCCGGATATCGATGTGATGCTCCCTTAAGCAATTGGGCATCAAAGGGATATGACCGGAACCTCAAGGGACCCCCAGAGCAACATCAAAGGAACACCAGAGGAGTCTCAAAGGAGTCCCAAAAGAATCACAATGGAAACGGCAAGGAATTTCAAAAGAAGCCAATCGGAGTATCAAAGGAATCTCTGGGGAATCTCACAGAATCGCACAGAATCACAGGAAGCGACTCTGGGCAGGTGTGCCTTGTCGCTGGGCTCCGGGCATTCAGATGCTTGTGGAAGCCTTTCTGGATGCCTCCTGGGAACCTCCAGGGACCTCCCCTCCGCGGACCTCTGGTGACCTGCGGGGGATATCGCTTCCGCCCCGGCCCCGGTGCCAGAAGCGTTATATTTTCCTCTGATGAGGGGGGGGGGGGGGGGAGGGGGGTTTATTGATTGCTTCCCAGGGTTAATAGTACGGTTTGGAGGCGAACAGAGTTCTCCACTTCAACTCGTTCACGCCGGGTCAGGGACCCCAACAACCCTGCATGGAAAAGGCTTCCGTGGAAGCCTCCAGATATGGAAAACGGAACTTCGCTGAAAGCTACGATTTTGAAACAACCCCGAGGGAAGCGGTGGCGGCCTCTGTGGTCGCGCATGGACTACATCTTATCTTCTGACGCCTGGGTTTGCTGCACATGCAGGTTGACATCTCCGCATTTGTCTCGACCCGCCTCTGGATCTGCAGCGGTTTTGCCTGGCCCACCTGGACCCCGGCAAGTCGAGTGGAGATGAGCCCTCAAGTCCCCAGGGGTGGTGATGGGGCGCCATCTCGGGTCGGACGAAGCGGGGGGGGGTACGTTCAGGAACTGCTGCTCAGCGTGTCGCGGCGGCGGCCCAGGCGACACGACATGCCCAGCGGCCTGAGAGCGTGTCGCTCCGCTCCGCACGGCGGGATGATGCCGGGAAGCGCTCGGGACGCGGGTGCCTTTTGGGAATGGGCCGTGAAGCGTGCCGCAGCGGAGCGCGGTGTGCCGGAACCGGCGGCGCGACACGCTGAGCCAGAGTGCCTGACCGTAGTGCCCAGACCCCGGACGTCATGATCTTTTCAGAACGTCGACCCTCAGAGGCCTCGACCCATGCCCCACGGACCCGTTTTTTCATCCCGAGTCGTTGTTTGGCGGTGCCGAGGGCCGGTAAGGGTTCCCCAGACTCCCGTCATGATTGTTTCATTGCCCGAGGGGGTCTGGGAGTGTAGTTCGCTGATTTTCCCGGCGCTCACGGCGCCATCTGTATCAACGCATATCGAAGATGGGCGCCACGCGGCGGTGCGGAAACCCGATGCACGCAGCTAACTTTGCCCCCCCCCTCCCCCAAGAATCTTAGGTCGGGCATGTCCTCCTGCCAACGGATTTTGGGCAAAAAATGGAAATAGCCAAACCATGCGCAAACATGTTCAAGAATAGACTAAATACATCCCAGACTAGTTTTCAACTATTTTGTAATATTCCTCTTGTAGGGCTGACATAACAATCATCCCACCCCTTTGTCCGACACGAGTGGTGCAAGCGCGTTTCCCCCTCCCGGTCCTCGTCCTCCTCCTCGTCCTCGTCCTCGTCCTACGGGCGGCCGGGGCGGGGCGATCGTCATCGCCCTCCTCGTCCTCGTCATCGCCCTCGTCGTCTTCCTCGTCCTCGTCCTCGTCCTTGTGCTCGTCCCCCTCATCCTCGTGTTCCTCCTCTTCCTCCTCCTCCTCCTCCTCCTCGTCCTCCTCCTCGTCCTCCTCCATCAGCTTGCCTTAGAGATCCACCTGACATCCACCTTTGGGAAAAATTTGACCATCTTAGGAGATGCGCGACCGTAACCCTACAGACAACATATTTATGATGCGATGTTTTCGCTGGATCGATTTGTGATGGCTCAGGACCCCACAACCGGATGAACACCAAACGAAGACGTGGCAACGCCCGAATCCCAAGGGTCCGTCCTCGGCCTCGTCCTCCTCGGGCGTTGCCCAATGGAGGGGCGATAACCAGGCGGTGGATGATGATGGCCAGCGCGTGGGATCCAAATCGGTTCTTGAGGGCCCAACCGCATCCGCGCGCTTCGTACTTCTGCTTGCTCCGCCCGGTCGCTGCACGCGAGGCCGCTACCATCAAATACATATATTTATACACATATACACACGTACTTAAGCTCATGCATATATATATATGTATACATATATGCGTGGGTGAACACATGTGTAAATATGGATAATAATATGTGTTTGCGTGTGTGTGTGTGTGTCGCAGCTCTCGTCCTGACGCCATAGTTTGGTCTCAGCTATCGTGTGGTGTTAGGTCCTCGTTTTGAACAGCCAGCGCCCCGCGCTCCCCCTCCTCCTCCCTCCTTCAACCCCTGGCCCTGCTCTTCGAATAACAGCATCGTCATCGTCATCGTCATCGTCATCGTCATCATCATCATCATCATCATCATCATCATCATCAGCATCATCATCATCATCATCATTGTCATCATCATCAGCATCATCATCATACTCTGCGGCATCGTCATCATCATCATCATCATCATATCCACCACCACCATCATCATCAGCAACATCATCATCATCGAACGCATCATCATCATCATCATCATCAGCATCATCATCATCATCGGCATCATCATCAGCATCATCATCATAATCGTCATCATCATCATCAGCATCGTCATCATCATCATCATCATCATCATCATCGTCAACAGCATCATCATCAGCATCATCACCATCATTGACACCTTCTCCACTTACCACCACCATCATCATCGTCGTCATCGTCATCAGCATCATCAACATCATCATCATGACCATCGTCATCATCCTCAACATCATCATCAACATCATCATCAACAACATCATCATCTTCATCATCATCATCATCATCATCATCATCATCATCATCATCATCATCATCAACATTGCCGTTCTCACCGCCACCATCGCCATCAATTTCGGAACACCCCCCACACGCTTCGTGGCCACATGGGGAGCTTCACCGAAAGCCCCAGGGGCGCCGCCCGCATGCGTCCAGGCCCTCACGAGCATCGTGGCCCCATAGTAAGCTCCACCGAAGGTTACAGGGGCGCCGCCCGCATGCGTCCGACCCACCGATTTCGGCGCGCCCCTCACGAGGATCGTGGCCCCATTAGGGCGCCCCGCCGAAGGCCCCTGAGGCGCCGCCCGCATGCGTCCGACCCACCCGTTTCGGCACACCTCATCACGAGGACCGCTGCCCCATAGAGATATCAAGCGAAGGTTGCAGGGGCGCCGCCCAAGGGGCGCCGCCTGCATGCGCGCGACCCACCTATTTCGGCACCCCCCCCACGGGGATCGTGTCCTGATAAGGGGGCTCCACCGAAGGTCCCAAGGGCGCCGCCCTCATGCGTCCGACCCACCCATGTAGACACCCGCCTCATACAATTCGCGGCCCCATAGGGAGCTCCACCGAAGATCCCTGCGGCCGTCCTCGCGTGCGGCTTCCCTGCCCATGTCGACACGCCCCTCACACGTTTCGTGGCCCCATGAGGAGCTCCTGCGAAGGTCACATCGGTCGTCATCGCATGCGTAGCCCTCCCCCACAACCCGCAGGCGGAACCCTCCCCATGTTGGCACACCCCTTACGCGGTTCGCACGTCTCACGCGGTTCGCGGCCCCATGGGAACTTCCTCCTCGATCGTCTTGCCTGCTCAGCGGCACTCACAGCTACATATAGTTGGGTCCTTCGCCCGGAAAACTTTTCCCTGGGACCAAGTTCTGTACCAGCCATCCTGTGTTGAGGTGGGCCTTCGTTTTGATTCAGCAACGCCCCGCGTCCTTCTTCGTCTTCGCCGACCTCCCTCCTGCTATCCGCGTGTTCGCATCTCCGTCATGCTACCACCATCCCCACTCCGGCGCCACCCTCGAGCGCGCCGTGGCCCCATAGGGAGCTCCACCTGCGGCCCCAGCGGATGCGCCCGCACGCCGCGCCGCCCCACTTGAACGCCCCCCTCGCACGCTCGGAAACGGAAACGGAAACGGATCGCCTGTGCGGGCATGCGCCCGGGCCCCTTGAGGGCGAGGCGGGTGAGGCCATGGCCTCGCATGAGAAGCTGCGCGCGTCGGGGGTCTACTCAGGACAACGTGCACTTCAGGAGGTGACATCCCCGACAGTCCCCAAAGGGAGCCCCCCTCGCACGCTCCGTGGCGCCACAGGGAGCTCAGCCACAGGCCCCCGTGGTTGCGCCCGCAGGCCGCCGCCAACCCCCTTCGGCGGACCTCTCGCACGCTTCGCGGCCGCTCGAGGTGCTCGGGCCGCGCCTCGGAGCTCGGTCGGGGGACCTGCTCGTGGCCGCGGCTCTCTCCGCGACTCTTCGCTCCCCCTGCTCGGCCTTCCCTGTTGTGGCACCTTTGTGCGGTGGTCGGAGCAAGAGTCTCACCTCCAGCGGCAGTTCGGGACGATCGGGGTGCCCCGGGAACGCCTCCGGCGAGGCACAGCTTCAGCAAAGCACGCCCGAGGCTGGAAAGCCGCCAAGAACGCGGGACACCTCCCGGAAACCGCCAAACTCGAATCTGGTTTGGCCTTGAGCCTGGACTCCCGGACATCCGCCGGCGCTGTGCTTTCCAATTTGCGGCCCCAGAGGCCCCAGAGGTCCCGGCCTCGTCCACGGCAGCCGTTTCTGCCCAGATCCGCCTGAGATGGTCCTGGATCACGACAGCGGGCCCCAGGGGCGGACATCGAACTGTTATCGTTAGGTCGGGCACGTTCCCCTGCAGGCGGATGTTGGAAGAACATCTTGAATCTAGCCAGGACATTGTCAACACAACTTGTCAAAAAAAAGGAACATCGTCCCCGGACTAGTTTGTAGCATTCCTGAAGATTCCTCCTGTAGAGGGGCATGCCCGACTGAAATTCTTCCGTCTGAGGTCTGGGCGTGCGGCTTGCGCCTGGCCGAGCCATGGCCCCCCTCCGAGGCTCACATACCCAAGTGCGTGTCTGCCTGTCTGTCTGGTTTGCCTCTTCCCCCTCTGAGAGGTCTGGGGGGGGGAATGGCGAGGAGGAAGAGAGAGGCTCTCCCCCCTTCCCATCTCCAATTCTCCTCCTGCGGTTGGTGGGATCTGCTCTTGCGTCGCTTGGCCGTGGGAGATGCATCCAGAATGCGTTCGTAGGTGTTTGCAGTTTTCAGCCATGCACCGCATACTGTCGGGAACATTTGCTTAGCATGTCGTGGCGGGGGCCTCGGCGACACGCTATGCTAGAGGCCTCCCAGATCGGGTCCGAGTACATTGGGTCGGAGGATCACGCTGCATCGCCGATGCATCGTCGACGTGGGCGAAAGATCGCCCACGCCGACGTATAGCACATCGTGCCCCGCATCGAGCCGCATCGCCGATGCGTCGGCGATGCGGCCCGATCCTCCGACCCCCCCTACTCCAACCCCATCTAGGAGGCCCAGATATTCCTTGACAGCGGATAGTGTGTTGCTCCGCTCTGCTGGGCGGGAGATTCGGAATGACTTCGATGCCTGGGGACCGCGACATGGATAGCGTGTCGCACCAAAGCATGGCGGGCCAGAGCAAATATCGCGACACGCGAAGCCAAAAGTTCCGACCACATCCCCTAGTGGATTTCGGGCCCTGGCTCAACTCTCTGGCGGGCGTTCGGGGCGACCCGGGCTCCCCCAGAACGCTCTCGACGAGGCGCAGCTGCTGGGAGCCATCCAGAGGCTGGAAAACCGCCGACAGCCGACGAAATCGCCCGCAAACATGGAACCTCGAACTGTCCGTCCGCCAGTCCGTCTGATGTGCCGTCCGTCCGTCCCCTGATACCCGTCCGTCCCTGGACGTTCTTCTTTGCCCGTCTTCTCTCGAAGTTGGTAAGAGCTGCTCGAGCGGCGGTTGGGCCATGGGAGATGCACTCACGCGCCTGGCCGTATTTGTCCACGCACCGCCGAATGAATTCTAAGCAGTGCGCACCGACCCCTAATCCCTTGGGGCGGGACCTAAGATCAGAGCGCACAGAACATTCTGGATAGGGAGTATGTGTTGCAGATGTGACAGACGAAACAACAGATATGTTCGGGGAAGACGTCCCCAAGCAACGACCACCTAAGCTAGGCCACAAATCCGTTGAGTCATTAGGGTTAGGGCCTGTATCATGCTTACTGGAATTACAGTCAACCCGTATGCTAAGAACGCACGATGAAAATGCAAGGGCCTTGGAGGGCCAGCCGATACCTCCCGAGCGGGGCGCGGCCAGCGAAAGCGACCGAGGATGGGCCGCAAGGGAAAGATGCAAGTGCCGCCTTAGAAAGGTGCCCACCCTTTCTTGAGCAGGGGACCGGCCGTCCCCGGATTCCTATCATCCTACCACGAAGTGCTCGTAGAACCCAAACATGTTCTAATAACACCAACCATGTTCTTAGAACATAAACCAGATGCGTCAAAACAAGGCCCTCTCGGCAACACATGTTCGGAGAACATTCCGTGCAGACCACAAAGGGTTACCGGAACATTCTTTCGTGGGCCTTTCGGCGAGCCAGGACGCTTCGCCACTGCTCCACAGTCGGGCCGCTGAGAGAAGGAACGCTAAACAAAGAACGAAGCCCCTTCTGGGCCCTGTAAGCGCCTCCGTGCCCCGGGAGGGCCAGAGGCACAGCACTGGAGGAACCCCACCAGGAACATCGGGCCCCTCCCGAAATCAAAACATGCTCCTTCTTTCGGCGACTTGACCGTCCTCACTGTGCGGGTCCACTGCCGGTGTCCGATGTGCCGTCCGTCTGCCCCGCGGGACGTCCTCGCTCTCCGTTGCGGGCCTGGGCGGCGGCGCGGCGCGGCGGCGCCGCCCCGGGCCCGCGGCGGGGCCGCCGCCGCCGGGCTGCGCGTGCGCAGCCGCGGCGGCGCGCGGCTGCGGGCGGCCCCTGCCCGGGGAGGGGGCGCCCGCTGACCCGACGTCGGAGCGGTGGGGCAGCCACGAGCAGCGACGTCGGAGTCGCTGCGCATGAGGCCTTACCGCCGCACCGACCCCGCCCAGGCCCGCCGAGGGGCCCAGATCTCCGAAGGCGCGATGGTGTCTCCATCGGGGCGTGTTTCCTGGGGCTCGTGATCGGGCCAGGGGGTCGAAAAAACCGGTCCGGGGCGGAAACCTACCCGGCGGTGCGGGCACGAGCTGTGCCCACATTCACCGAAGCTAGGGGGTTTGGGGCTCCCTTCCCCAGACAAAAGAGGAGGCGCACTGGATATGGATGAACATCCAGCACCTGGAGGCTCGATGTTTAACCATGTCCAGTGCGCCTCGGCCTTTCGGCGCCCCTTCCAAGAAAGTCCAAGACGGAACTGCTTGTGGATACAAACGTCGCCCGCCCAAGATGGGCTCGGCCAGGATCCGCGAGGCGCGGCAAGGGCGGCCTGTGGGTGACCCGGCTTTGGGGTGGCACGGGGGCGACGACCCCAAGAGCGCGTCGGCCGCTGATGTCGCGTCGCGCTCAGCCGTCGGACGGAGCACCCCGACCTGCGGTCGAAGGTGGGCATGCAACGAGCCGGCCCAGAGGGATGCGCGTCGGGCCCTGGACCCTGGGCGCTGCCCGCAGGACAGCTCCTCGGCCCCAGGCCGTCCTTGCCACGGCCCTGTGGCCGCGGAGGGCCCCCGGAAGCTCAGAGCAGTGAGGCGTCACGGGACCCGCCTCCCTCTCGGGTCGGGCGAAAAGGGGGGGGGATAGCAAAGGGGGGTGTCGTGAATCAGCTCGCGCAGCTGAGTTTCCCAGCGCCTGCCAGCGCCGGAACCGGCCATGCATCGCGTCTCGAGGACTGGGCCCCTCGGTGGGGCCGAAACCAGCTGCATGCAGCAGATTTCGTGCCCCTCCCCTTCCCAATTCCCCCCCTTGCGTCCGGCCCGAGCCTCGGGACCCTGCACCCAGACATCCGGCAGCGTGCTCCTGTCCAGGCGCGCACCCCCGCCCGGGGCCGGAGACCAGACCCCCAGAGGCCGAAACGATGCCGGAAGCACGCCCTGATGGGGCAAGCCCTGCCGTCGGAGGTCTGCGTCTGCTGCACGGCCAGAGGAGGTGCAGGCAATGTCCACATCCACACCCACATCCGGTGCGACTTGGGGTTTCCAAGGAAGGGGCGCCGCAAGGCCGAGGCGCGCCGGCTGTGGATACAATGGATCGAGCCTCGAGGGGCCGCGCTTCCAGTGCGCCTCAGGTGTCTGGGGAAGGGAGCCCAGAACGCCAAGCCTGGGCGTCGCTGAATGCGGGGAAGATTCTAACTTCTCGGGCCCTAGCAAGGCACCGTTTTGGACCCTAAAGGGCCCCTTCAGGGGCCATGAATGTCCCCTTTTCTGCAGCCTCGCTGCCCCCCATTGATCGCCCTTTCCATTACGCGAGGTCCAACCCTTGAGATCCGACGTCTCGAACGAATAACAACATTCGCGAATAATGACAATCGAAGCCTCGGACCACATCTCTCCAAGCCACTTTTCCGAGCCGGATCGATCTGTGAGGGCCCTGGGGCCCGAACCGATTCGAGAACGCCCGGCTCGCAAACATCGCGACGCCAGGATCTCAGGGACCAGCCCAGACCCCCGTCGTCACAATTGGTTCACCACGTCGACCCCCACAAATCTGGACCCCTTCCCTGGGGGGCCCGTCTTTCCTCCCGATCCATTTTTTTTTGCAGGACCGTCCCGAGGCCCCGCGAGGGCCCCTGGAGGCCGAAAATCTCGAAAAACCTCCCGTCGCGACTCTGCTCGCGGCGCGAGGGGGTCCGAGATGGGCCGCACAGAGGCATGCTAGTACCAGATCTCCTCCTCGGAGGCGCGCGCCCGACCCGAACCTCTGGCGTATACCCATCTTGCAGCACATCGCTTCCCGAGCGGTGTGGCCAGACAGCGCCCGCCACGACGCACAGGCTGTGAGATCCCCCGAGGGGCGCGTCGCCCCTGGGGGGGCGACGCGCATGTATTAGGAGGAGGAGGAGGAGGAGGAGGAGGAGGAGGAGGAGCAGGAGGAGGAGAGGAGGAGGAGGAGGAGGAGAGGAGGAGGAGGAGGGGAGGGGGACGCCGATGGGAAGCCGACGGCCCCGCCTGCCGGGCCGCGGCGGCGCCGCCGCGGCGCGGGCCGCCCGCGCGCCGCCGCCGCGCGGCGGCGGCTGCCGCCGCGCGGCGGGGCCCCGGCTGCCCGAGGCGGGCTCGGGCGGCGGCGGCGCCGCGGGGCCGCGCCGCGGGGCCGCGCTGCCTCGGGGGGGGGGGGCCCGGGCTGGTTTTGGGTCGGGCCTGTGTCCCCGTACAGAGGGGAACTTCGGCGAAGAGTTACAATACCCCAACAATTGCCCTTAAAATGCTCCAGAATTAAAAAAAAGAATCACCCGACTTTTTGTTGGACTATTTTTGCATATCCCCCCTGTAGAGGGACAGGCCCGACTTAAGCCCAGGACTGGGTGCAGCCGGTCCTGGGCCCCCAGACCCCCTCTGGCAATGAGAAGATCAGGACGGGAGGCCTCTCTTCATCCTCGGCGTCTGGCGACCCTTGCCGTTCCTCGGGGCTGTCACAAAAAAACGGCTCAGGATGGCAAACCGGCCCCGGGGAATGGGTCGAGACCTCTGAGGGTCGACGCTATGATAAAAATCATGACGTCGGGGGCCTTGGGTTGCAGTCGGACCTAGGCCAGAAGAGCATCCCACGAGGACATGGGGCCCTCCGTCGGCCACAACGCACAGAACATCCAGGGGTACCCTCCCCAGGGTGCACAGGAATACCATCAAACACCACACGAAGATCGCTAGGGCACCCTCCGCGAACCGACCTCGATGTTATACCTCGGGCCGGCTGTAGCAATGAATGGGCCCTAACCCTTTGGAAGGGGACCTAAGTCAGGAGGGCCAGAAACATCAGGGGTAGGGGGTCTTTGCTGTAGACGCGTCAAACCAAACCGCCCAGATGTATGATCCCCATAGCAATGACTGGGGCATCAGTGTGGCTACATCTTGATCGTATTATTCTGCTTATAGAGGCCTCCTAGATGGGGTCGGTGTACATGGGGTCGGAGGATCGCGCCGCAATGCCGATACATCGGCGATACATCGCAGATGCATCGGCGACATCGGCAATACATCGGCGACGCCGGCGTGGAGAAAATCGGGCTCCGCATCGAGCCGCATCGCCGATTCATCGGCGATGCGGCGCGGTCCTCCGACCCCACCTACTCCGATGCCATCTGGGAGGCCTAGAGGTTAGGGGTTCTTGTATCTTCGAGGAAGGACGATGCGGCGGCAGACCGCGCTGCGACCTCGAAGTCACACGGTGTACTCACCGCGCGGCCCGTCCCCAGAGCTCCGACGTTTCTACAAATAAAAATGGTTGGCGCGGGCGGCTGTTGTTGGCTGCCTTCGGCCTCCGGGGGCCCTCGAGGGGCCCCCGGGAGCGTCAGACAACGACTCGGGCCGAACAAACAACAGTCCTGTGGAAGGCGTGGTCCAGATCTATACGAAGCCCGCGCATCGACAAACATAGTGGAAGAGCCGGATGTCTGGGTCGCCGCGCGGCAGCGGGCCCCTGCAGGCACCCAGGCGTCCGAGGCAGCCGCGGGAAGCCCACCGAGGCCCCAAACGTGGCTCTCCACCGGGTGCTCTCAAGGCTCGGGGAGTCCACAGTCGGCCCGCGCTGTTCAGGCGGGCGTGCGGGGTCGGTGAGCGTGCGGAGGAAGTACACGCTGGCGTCCAATATACGACTGCTCTCGAGCATGCCTGATTCGAGCTTGATATAGACGTTTTGGGTATGGTCGCTTTGGGTATGGTCGTTGGGGGCATGCCTGAACCAATCGCAGCAGCCCTTTGGGCTGAGGTGGTCTGTCGAGATCGTTCTTCCCTCTTCCAAGAACCCTCTCTCCTTTGGGGCGGGGTACCCTCCCCCTCCCCCTCGTTGAGGTTTTTGTTGGTGGGGGCGCGATCGGTCAGGGCGCCCAGGATGGCCAGAGATTGCTCCAAGAGGGCCTCAAAGGCTCCAAGATGGCCTCCAAGGCGGCTCAAAATAGCCGAAGATGGTTCAACATAGCTTCCGACAAGGCGGGGCGAGCAGGACCCCCACGAAACGCGCTCGGCGAGGCGCAGCCGCGTGAACGCATCCCAGGGCAGGAAATCCCTCAAGCACCGACGGCAGCGGCCGAGAGCACCACCGGAGAGCGACCCGAAGCCCAGAGCCATGCGGCCGCCGCAGACTCCCCACGCGGCAGGGCCACCGCTCACCGCGTGGGGGACCCCGAGCCGCCTTCCGCGCCACCGCGCTCCGAGCCGCGGCCGGGCGGGCGCCGGGCGCGGTGCATCTGGCGGGCCCGCGCGCCCCCCGCGCCCGGCGCGGGGAGTCGATGCTCGTGGCAGCCGGTGCTGGAAGGAAGGGGGGCGGAGTGAGGGGGGGAGGCGGAGGAACGCAGTGGAGAGCGAGCCTTCCTCCTCCTTTTCCTCATCCTCTGCTCCCTCCTCCTCCTCCTCCTCCTCCTCCTCCTCCTCCTCCTCCTCCTCCTCCTCCTCCTCCTCCTCCTTTCCTCCTCCTCTCCTCCTCCTCCTCCTCCTCCTCCTCCTCCTCCTCCTCCTCCTCCTCCTCCTCCTCCTCCTCCTCTCCTCCTCCTCCTCCTCCTCCTCTCCCCCTCTCCTCCTCCCCTCCTCCTCCTCCTCCTCTCCTCCTCCTCCTCCTCCTCCTCCTCCTCCTCCTCCTCCTCCTCCCCCTCCCCCCTCCCCTCCCCCTCCCCCTCCCCCTCTCCCTCACCACTCCTACTCCTGCCCGCGATTCTGCGCGCACGGGAGAGATGGCAGGCGAGGCAACCAGGGGAAGGGTGAGGATGAGGACGAGGTGTGGGTGGCAAGGTGGAGGAGGGAGGAGGTCGGCGTCTTCGTCGAACGTCAGAATGTGTCTGTACCGTTCTCGTGTCAGAAGCAGCACGACGCTGAGAAATTGTTCGGGACCCCCCCCCCGGATCAGAAAAGAAAGCGCCCGCAAAGAGCGCCACCGCCCATCGCTGCACAGTGCCCGGGAGGCGGTTCGAAGGCCGCACTGGGCAAGGAGACGGAGGAGGGAGAGGAGTAGGAGTAGGACATTCGAAGACATTCGAGCGAGGGGCTCCGCGGTCGACTCGGCCGCCGCGGCCCCCGCCCGCGCAGGCCGCGCGGGCTCTCAGGGGTCGCGACCCCACCCCGTGAGCAGGGCGGGCGTCCACCCCACTGGCACTCCAGGCCAGAGTATCTCTGCGGGGCCGTAGCCCCGTGCCATGAGGTCAACCACGAGGTCGTCGCCCAGCTGCAACTCGTGGTAGCCGCCCGCCGTTAGGCGGGATCGTCCCATCTGGCCAATTCTGGCCAGCCATTGGTGGTAATCCTTGTCGTAGCCGACGAAGTACAGTAGTCCCGCTCTGCGTGATCTTGTTCCTGCACTCCGTCGCCAGTAGGTTCACTCTGCCGTGTCCGTAGTCGTTGTGCGAAGCCACCGCAGCACAATTCCAGCACCAGAACTGCCCATGGGCCACTGCAATGCTGTGGCTGTCGTGGATCACTTTGTCTTTGATCTCAATCAGCTCGTTGTTGGGAACACGGACTGCATGTCCATGATCTGCTCGGTGTGTCTCGTACTGCCTCCCGATGCACACGTTAGCCTTCATCCAGTCGACCACGCTGTACTTGCCTGGGGTTAGCCAGCACTCTTGGCATACCCATTGCCCTTTCTTCTTTCGCATTCTGTGGCCCGACTCCTTCTCGATCTGATATCTTCTTTCCTTTGCTATTTTCTTCGGCATCTGCTTGGGCCTCTCAAGCTTGGTGGGGTCCGCATCCTTGCACACCTCGTGGATGATCGCTGCTGCCCGCCTTTGGGCCCTCATAAGTGTAGTCTCCACTTCCACCAACACCTTGACCTCCTGCCGTATTTCTGCCATTGCCTCTTCTGCTCCTCGCTGCGCCAACGTATTCGCCATCTCATTGCCCATGCTGGTGTGGAACTCCTGGCCAGCCTGCTTAACCGATTCGCCGTCGAGGTGGGGTAAGCACTTCTGGACACGTACTCCATACACACCGCCAGACCGCCTGCTGAGCAGAAGTTTTATCCTTTCCCACCATGGTCGCTGAGCACCTTGGGGCTGCTCGTAATACTTGAGGGTCCAGCCATTCATAACCATCTGGCAGTCCGTGATGATCAATAACGGGCCTCGCGTCAGCGCCAATGCCCAGAAAAGTCCTGCATGTTCAGCAGCGGGTACACTTTGTTCTCCATCTACGGTGCCATAGAACCCGATATGGTCTGTGCCTTCAATGAAACCCGTGCTGTCGTTCGGCAGGCTGGCCTTGTAGATCTCGTGGGCCACCACATGCGTGGCTGCTGGTCGGTCCTCATCATTGTCTTCATAATTTCTAGGCATTTCCTGGTCACAAGTGGGTGCTCGGTCTTGCAATAGTTCGCGGGACTTGGCCTTGATGCCCGCTACGCTGTCGAACCAGTGGGATATGTATGCTTCTCTTTCCCAGCCCGTAAGGGTGAGGGAATAATCTTACGCGTCTTTCAGCTTCTTCTTGGACGATCTCCATTGCATATCACGAAGGTCCTTCGCGATCTGGCTAGTGCTTCGGGTCTGGTATCTTGCTTTGAGTAATTGTCGTAGTGCTGCTTGTTCTGGTTGTCGCAGGTAGCTTTCCATGTACGGTTCACACCACATCTTCCAATTAGCTTGGGGGAGGAGGAGGAGGAGGAGGAGGAGGAGCAGCAGGAGGAGGAGGAGGAGGAGGATGAGAAGGAGGAGGGGGAGGAGGGAGGAGAGGAGGAGGAGGAGGAGGAGGAGGAGGAGGAGGAGGAGAGGAGGAGGAGGAGGAGGAGGAGGAGGAGGGGGAGGAGGAGGAGGAGGAGGAGGAGGAGGGAGGAGGAGAGGAGGAGGAGGAGGAGGAGAGGGGGGGGGGAGGACAGGAGGGAGGAGGAGGAGGAGGAGAAGGACAAGGGGAGGAGGAGGAGGAGGAGGACATGGGGAGGAGGAGGACGAGGAGGAGGACCAGTGCAAACCCAAGAGTCATCAACGATGTTGGAATAAACCCTCCACCAAGCTCCCTCCTCACAGGCGCTTGCAATGGGTCATTTCCACTGAAGGAACTGCCTCGTTGGAAGACAACTGTTTGAATACCCTGAAGCATGCCAACATCACGGGTCAACCTGACTGTTGCGTCTTGGCGATCTCGAGTCGTGCCAGGACGCCAATCCTGGGACTTCAACACCGAGAACCAACATAACCGTTGCACCCTCATAATCTGGAATCCTTCCAAAACACTTTGTCTGGTGCGCTGGTCATGGGAACCCGTGAAGCTCTTATAAATTTTGCCAGCGAATGTGCGCGGCGCTGAGACGAGAGCCAAGTTTTGAAAATGAACCGCCCTCAATCCGTCAAGCTCTTGAACATCTTGCAAGACGAATGTGCGCGGCGCTACGGCGAGAGCCACACTCTGAAACGACCCGCCCTCAATCCGTGGAACTCCTGCACATGTTTAAAACGAATGCACGCGGCGCTAAGGCGAGAATCACATTTGAAAACCACCCGCCCTCGATGCGTGAAACTGTTGCAACTGTTGAACCCGAATGTGCGCGGCGCTGAGGCGATAGCCACATTTTGAAAACCACCCTTCCTCCATCTGTTCAGCTGGTGCCACTGTTTAATCCTCAGCGTCATAAATTGCGAGGAAGTCTCAGGCGAAATGCCCGGCCCGCCCTAAAAACTGGCCTCGGGGTGCGACAGGGAGAAGATACTTATGAGGAAAAGGAATGGAGGAGGAGGAGGAGGAGGAGGAGGAGGAGGAGGAGGAGGATGAGGAGGAGGAGGAGGAGGAGGAGGAGGAGGAGGGAGGAGGGAGGAGGAGGAGGAGGAGGAGAAGGAGGAGGAGGGAGGAGGAGGAGGAGGAGGAGGAGGAGGTGGAAGAGAAGGGGACTGACCTGTTGGCAGAGACGGTCCGAGTACAGGGCGAGCCCACTCGCCACCTGGCGAGCGCAACCCCCAGAGCTCGAGGCGAGGGGGCCTGAACCAATGCCTACGGCCTACAGTCGAAGCACGGCCACAAGAACGAGCGTCAAGAACAGAAGGCCCCTTCGGCGAAGGCCCAGGGCCCCCAGCGCAACGAGCACTTCAAGGTGGAGGGCCCGAGCACGAAAAACACCAAGGTACCCCTCCAAAGCTGAGGCCCAAGGCCCCCACAGCGAAGAATACTTCTTCAAGACTGAGGACCCCAACGCGAAGAACACCAAAAACACAACTCCGAAGCTGAGGCTGTGCAGCTCGTCGAGCTCCGGGCGCAGGCGACGGTGGGCCCAATGGGGGTGCCCGAGAGGCAGCCGAGCAGCCCGGCCCAGGGGCCGGCGACGGAGACCTCGTGCTCCCAAGCAGCCCCGGGAGCGCCTGCAGCGGGGAGGTGGGTGGTCGGCTGGACGACGGGGGGGAGGACGCAGAGGAGGAGGGAGAAAGGAAAGAGTCATGGGGAAGCGGGGGAGGGCGAACCCTCCTCTTGCTCCGCTCCGCCCGAGGGAAAGGCGGAGGGGGAAGCCGTCTGGCAGCACTCTTCGAGCCTGCTGGACGCCTCCTGGAGGCCATGAAGAATTATCTTGTCCTATGTTGCGCCATCTTGGAGGACATCTTGTGATACGGGCAGGAGCTTGTGCTTAGCGCGTCGCGGCGGCGGCCCCGGCGACACGCCATGCCCTGCAGGCTGATGGCGTGTCGCTCTGCTCTGCGGGGCGGAAGGCAGGGGAAAGCGGGACGTTAAAGCTCGGGGACTGGGCCGTGGCTAGCGTGTCACGCCGAAGCCCCCAGTGGGAGAGAACGGGCGGCGCCAAGCAAACGTTCCTGGGTCAAATTCGTGTCGGATTCGTCGGATGCGTGTCGAAGCCGTGTCAAATCCGCATCGAATCCACGTCAAATCCGCGTCGAGTCCGCATCGAACCCTCCAGCACAAGAAAAGACACCAATTTGGGGGACAGGCGAGGTCCCGCGAAGATGCGACGTAAGGCCCTGGGGGCCGTCAAGGGCCCCCGCATGCCAGCAATTGGCAAAACAATGCATCGTGTTTTGTCCGCAAAGTGGTCGGCAAGCACACAGGACCGAAACATAAACATGTTTGCCAGCGTGGACCCCAAACAATAATTTACTGCACTCTGGATGTGTCACATGTGCAAACTGCAACACACGTAGTGCTATGATTTGCGCCATAGGCTGCGCTGGGAACGTGGCGGGACTTCGCCGGAGTGATTGCGAAGACTGCGCCGCGAAGACAGACAGTCCACAAGAACAGATGCTGGATGAGCTGGCGGGCGCGAGCGAGGCGGGAGCGCGTCATGGATGCGGCGGGGGGATGACCTGTGTATCATTCTTCCCGGTCAGAGTGTGAAAACGGCAGTCGCCTCTGCAGATGAAGCCATCGCTGTGAGGGCCTTGCGCGCCAAGCCGGGGCGGCCACGGGAAAAATCCGCGGGCTAAAGACGCACGCCTCCTGCGTAACACTTCTTTTGCTGCGTCGGCGGCGAGGCAGGGGTCGTCTGCGCTAGCGGGAAAGCCTAAACTGAAGGGGCCCAAGGACACACAAATTACACACAAATAGCAGGATTCCCAATCTGTTCCTACATTTGTGGGGTTTTTGTTTTCCCCCCACACACTTCCCATATTTTCGCATATTTTCCTCGGAATCGACGATTAATTATGTTTGTGTGTTGTTTCCCCTCCTGATTAACACCTGTTTTTGCGTCGGCTATGAGCCGGGGGTCGTCTGCGCTAGCGGCCAGGCCCAAACGGGGGTGCCGTTAGAGCGAAGTGTGCCACCATGCAAGAGAGGGGGGAGCGGCGGAGGAAGCGGCCGAAAGCGGGCACGTAGGGAGCGAGCCGCTCAGGGCTGCCTGCTGAAAACAAATGCAAGCCAATAGTTGCAAACCTTCTTTTGAGAAAACAGCTTTCGACTGTCCTGGCGGACTTCGTGGATCTGCGCTGGACCCTCTCCCTGGCGCGCTCCGCGCGACAGGTGCCCCGCCAGAAGTGCCGCCAGGGGGGCCCAAGGGCCGATCCTCGAAAACCGCGCGGGGCTCCGAGAGATTAGCAGAATTTTACCTTTTTCGACGTAGGCACTCCTGGAAAACCTCTCGTACGCAACGTCTTTGAAGAGGCCCTGGGACACACAAGTAAATAGACACAAACAACTGGATTCCCAATGTTTTCCCATCTTTTCTGGGGATCGGCGATGAATTGTGTCTGAGTGTGTGTTTTCCCCCCGTGAGTCGTGGAAAACGCCTCGTGGTGTCTCGAACCGCCCTGCGGCCAACCGGGACTCCTCGCAAGCCGGCGTGGCGCGCCGGGGCGCCCGCGTCCGCGCGGGCCAGGCGGTCGCGCTCGAAGGCCACCTGCGGCCGGGAGGGGCGGGGGGGCGGCCCCTCCTCTCGACTATAGGGGGCCACATGCGAACCCTACCCCATACCCCCCCCGACGATTTCCGAGGGGGAGGGTGGGGTTCACTTCGTCAGGGAGCTCCCGAGCGAAGAGAGCCCCACCCTGCCCTCGGAAATCGTTGGGGGGGCAGGGGTAGGGTTCACACGTGGCCCCCCATCAACCTCGCCCCCGTCGCCGCCCTCCTCGCCCACGCTCGCGTCGTGCCCCCCCCCCCGAAAAAAAAACCAAGCGTAACCAACCGCTTGCGGCCTCCGGGGGCCCTCGCTGGGCCCCAGAACTGCGAGCGATGGTGCTGCTGATTGGCGCTCCCGGGGTCGACCCAGGTCGACCCAGGGTTGGAAATCTGGCACTGGTCAGGGCTCCCGGGGACCCCGCAGGGAAAGCACAAGGCGTCGCATGTCTGGGGCGTCTTCCTCCTCCTCTTGCCCTCTCTTCGTGACCCCTGGCGTTTCTCCCTCCCCTCCTGCCAGCCCTTGTGGACCTCATCCTCCTCTCGGGCGAGTGGTAATAGGGGGGTGACCAGCATGGGGGGTTGTGGAAAGGACCCTAGAAAAGGAGTCCTTCAGTGCCCCCTTAGGGCCCATGCTGGCTCCACAGAGGGGTCGTCAACCCGTTGAGTTGGATTTCGCGCAAGTCCGTGGAGTGAGCCTGGTTTGAGGCGCTTCGCTGAAGAAGATCATCGGGATTTGCTTGGTTGGGCCCTGGCTTGGCCCGGTTTGGCCTGATTTGGTGTGTTTTGGCCGGGCGACCCGCCTGAAACATCCTTCACATGTTCAGTGTGTTCCCCCTGGTTGGGTCCGATTTTGAAGCCGGTTTCGCCTGACACGTCCGTGCACCCTGCTTGGGTCAGTCTGGTCTCGGCGCGGTGTCGCACGAGACGTCCTCACACATTGCCTGGTGTGGCTTGGTTCCAACGCGGTCTCGAGTGATCTGCGAACAGGAACTTTTGGACATCGTGC